GAGATAGCAAAAGATGTCTTTCATAAGCTGAGCAAAGTACCAACAAATTGTTATGTAATATCAGTTTTCCTATGTGGCAGTGAATACTGGACAATCTCCTCACAGTTAAAGAAGAGACTTGAAGCAACAAAAAAGAGAATACCATGGACTGAACATGTGAGCGACAACCAAATTTTAGGGAAAATGGAATTAAAAAAGACATTTATACTTAGAATCAGAAAAAGATAGTTGAAATTTCTAAGGCACATAATGCGGAAAGAGGGCTTGGTAAATTTGATACTCACAGGACATATTCCAGGCAAGAGGAAAGCAGCAAGTAACCTACCTAACAAGTAAATGGTTGACAGAACAGGGATTAGGTAAGATAGCAAAAAAAAACAATACTAAGAGCTACAAAGGGCAAGAAGTTGGGGAGAGCCATCACTGCCTATATCCTGAAGGAGAACAACACATCTAATCCTAAACAGTGGAGAATTTTTCTCTAGTCATTCAAGATTTCAAAAATAGAGGAAATGTTATAGAAGCAATTCTCATAATATATAAGCTATTTCATTACAGTGTAACCCGGATATAAGAGAGTTGTCGGGACTGGAGAAGAAGTCTCTTATATCCAGGTTTGGTCTAATTTATATACATTAACACAGGCTCTAATTTGGGACCAGATAAAATCTCTCTTATATCCGGGTCTCTTATATCCGGATTACACTGTATCAAGTTTTACATTCTAAGAAAAGACAAGTAAATACATAATTAAGAGGTGATCCCATTGGCAATCTAAATTTCTGTCTATAAAACATTTGAAAGTGAAATGGTGCAGATTTGTAATAAACAATTCTTTTATAGTAATCTTTCGGTAGGAAGAATCTATTTCTTCATTCTGCTAAGTTAGCCGAAAGACATATGTAAGATAAACTCATTGCTAGTTTAAATAATAAATCCATATACACTCATGTCCCTATTAAAAAAAAGAAGCTTAAATCTTCTCATGAAAAATTTAGTGCAATCAAGAACTAACCTCTGTGATAGCCAAAAATAATTTGCCAGCTTATTAGAAATCAATGAAATGACAGAAATTTGATTTACCAAGAAGTTCACCTCTTAGCAGTGTTTTTGATTGTCTTTTCGTCTAAAATGTTTTACATTACCTAAATTACTATGTATCTCATTCACCATGAGTGAATGTAAGACTATTTTTAGAATGTCAACAGCTATTATTATTAAAAACCTGTTAATTGACTATATTAAATAGCAGTGTTTTTTTTGTTGAGTTAGGACTGGGATTAATCATACACAAAGCAAGGTAGGTGCTGTCTGATAGAGAATTTGTTATAATGATTTGAGACAAGGTTTTACAAGGCCAGATGCTCTTCCTGACACCCAACTAAGACACTCATGGTAGTCCAAGTACACCAAGTGTTTTTATCAAGATACCAAGAAGGTTGGCATTCAAAGTTTGAGACGCCATCCTAGCCGTTTATATATATATATATATATATATATATATATATACACACGTGTGTGTCATTAGCTTCTATAAGAAGCTCATCCACACTTTGATAGGTCTTTTCTTTTGTCTTGTGAGGTGACATGCCAGCAGAAAAGTTAGTGGAGGAAGCTGGTTTAGACACTAACTCTGCCCCATTCATGCATCAGGTTGTAATGGGTTACATCCCTACACGCAAGCCACCAATCAGCCACTGGGTGGCATGCCACTAGTGTTTACCACCAGTGGCCCGCTGTCTGACAGCTGGTGTGTTCCTCTCAGCAATGTTACCCTTAGTGCACCCCTAGAGAGGCCCACCGGTGGCTGCCACCAGAGGACTGCTGTCACTGCGATCTGTGGCCCGCCAGCAGACAGCTAGTGGCTTGCATGTAAGGATGTTATCTATATTATTAACAGGTAGAACAGAATTATGTTCCAGCAATGGGTCTCTGTTGTTTGTGGCCATATTATGATGTATAAAAATGGTTAGGATACCGGCAACCAATGCCAACCAAACAATCTTGATCCCTAGTTGATTAATTTCCAACAAATATCTTAAGAAATAAATACAACAATATTGGTTCATTTTTCTAACTAATCAAACCTAATAGGAAAACACCTGAATAATTCATTGTCCATGTAGCAGTCATATCATATGTTTGCATCTCATGGTCTGATATAGATCATGAACCTGAACAGTTAGATGCTCAATAAGTACTATTATGTTGAATAGAAGACAAAACAAAGTCACAAAAAGATTATTATCATCAGGTTACATATGATACACATGACTTTATGTCATACCTTTGATTTTTTTTTAGGCATTTCACTCCAAGCAAGGCGGGAAGCCACTAGCACGCAAGGGGTTACAGAGAGTTGGAGCAAGAGCAAAGAGAAGTGATAGAGGAAAGGATGAGGAGAAGGATAGGGGATAAATCAAGGCATCTGGAGACGTCAATTGACATTACATTAGAATAGTTAGAGATTATAGCTATCAGGGAAACAAGAAATGGGAAGGGAGTTCCACAGGCGAGAAGTGCGAGACATGAAGCTATTGGAGTAGAAGAGACGGCTACATTTAACAGTTTCAACAGTGAAAGCAAGATGCCAGCCTAGCTGAACGCTTAAATTCATGAAGTCTGGGAAACAGCGAAAGCAACTCACCGGAACAGTTACTGTGAAAGTATTTGTAAAAAAAAAACAGAGGGAGGCAACGGCATGTCTGTGAGAGAGTGACTGCAGATGAGATGCCAGATCAGGGTCAATTACCTATATCTATACTATCTAATGGTGATGATTATTCACTTTTCAACCCTGAGATGTGGGTTCAAATTGCACCAAAACACTTCCAAGCTACCTAAACTTCTGTACTTGTTTGATGTTGACATCAATAATTTGCAACTTGCATCTTAGGCTTTTTCTTTTGCTGATGACCATACTTTCTGTCTTCTTCAATGTGATTAACTCCAGGGGGCTGTCCTTGCAAATAGTATATCTCCTAAGGGAAAGGGCTAGGATTAATCTATGGTACCCAATGTATTCACAAAGGGCAATTGCTGAAGGAGATTAAGTAGATAGTTTTTTGTTCTTAGTCCTATATATGCATGGGACACCCAATTTAAATTTGCTTTTGTGGCATAATTCATTCACGGGAGCTTGCAAATATATCCTTGTATGAAAATTTCTCCAATTTAACCAGTAGAGAAGACAATATTTATGAATAAAAATGACAATAGGAGAACTAGTAAATGCTGACACGTTTCGTCCAATGTGGACTTTATCGAAGCAAAATACAAAATGAATTTAATTGAACAAGGTAACCAATAAAAACAAAAACAGAATGTTCCTAGCAACTGGAATGTAGAGAAATGCTATTTTCATATTTTTAACTGAAAATGACGTCAGTATTTGTCACATGTGGAGAATATTGTCATTATATCTGTGTTGATGTTTTTGTTTTTATTAGTTACCTTGTTCATTTAATTTCATTTTCGTATTTTGCTTTGATAAAGTCCACATTGGACGAAATGCGTCAGCAATTACTAGTTTTCTGATTCTCATTTTTATTCCTTACCATTACTCATCAATTTGGACTTTTTTCTTGCTTTCTTTTACTCAACAATTTGGACATTTTTCTTGCTATCTTTTACTACCCTGTGTAGGGGTTCTGTATTTTTTTTTCATGTCAGCCCTCAACACAATATCATGTGTGTATTTTATATGATTAAGATTATGAATCCAGGTAGCACCCCCAATTCTCTTAGGATAGTCCCGCAGCAGAAGTTGAATAAATCTGAGGTGTAGACATGATGGACATCCACACAAAAAAAGAAAGTGTGGTTTTATTTTAAACTCAACTGCTTCTAAATATTTAACTAAATATATTTTGAATGCAATTCTATACCTTTAACTAAATATAAAATTTGTTAGTCATTTTGCTATAAATAGGTATTGCTGTTAATTTTACTATAAATAGATATTGTTGGTAATTTTTTTATATAAATATCTATTGCTCGTATTTTTATACCTTCATAGTATTTTGCTTTTGTTTGGGGTTTCACAATTTCCCCATAGCTGGAATCCTAACAGATGTTACCACCTGAGGTCAAGGGTGGATATCAGAAGAACAGCAATTAAGAGTTAGTTCCACGCTTCACAAAAGCTTCTATATCCTGATCAGAGGTCTTGCTGCCAGATGTAGTTTATTGTCATACCCAGGAAGTGACGTGGTGTTTGACATTTGTTGTTACCTTGTAAGCATGTAGCAAGCCACTTCCCAGCTGATGGTGCATATCAATGAGATAAAGAATCGAAATACAACATGGGGTAATCATTGGCCAGTTGGTGCAAGGGTTGCTTTGTATATTTACAACACGTCCTTGTCTTATAACCCTTTCTATTTTTTTGTATAGCTACTCAATTTAGTTTCTATCCATATGCAGGTGGTCTGCTCCCAGTATGAGTTCTGGATTATTCTAACATCCTTCCAAAATAGATTGAGCTTTCCTAGTAGTTCAAATAGATCTTTGTGCCATACCTTATCAAATGTTTCTGATTCCTGTTTGTATGATGACAAAGAGAGCATTAAAGGAAAAAGCTGGATGATCTAGGTAAAATGATATTGAACAAAAACTGGCTGCCTTAATCGAGCAGCAGAATACTGGAATATAATTGGTTAACGAACAGCAGCAATACGATTGGTGGATTAAAGACAAAAATATCTGAGATATGATTGGTTGGGGTAGAGGATTATATGATTTATTAGACAAAGTATAAGGATGTAGATAGCAGATTCGATGAAGCAAATGAAGAGAGAAATAGATGTGGATATTTTTAAAAGACAAATGTTTTCTATGGGAAGCACAGAAATTATGTGGAATGACTTAACAGAATAAGAGTAAAAAAAAAAAAAGAGGAAGAAGAAAATATATCTAAATAGGATGAGAAAATGGACAGAGGGAAGTTGGATCAATCACAAGGCTGTTCCTTCGGCTTTCTGAATTTAAAACTTCAGTCATCAGGATGATTTTTCGATGTTCTTCTCGACCGAATGCTTTGCCTTCTTGCTGTTTGATGATTTGAAGGCTGCAAAGAAAACTGGTCATTAATAATATTAAAAAAAGAATTTAAAGAAAAAATCTTCACTTTATCCCTTTCACTCAGAAATATTTCACAAAATTTATAATTTACTCCAGCATTAGTCAGACATTTAAACGTTAATTTTGTTTATTTGGGCTTTAAAAAACCCCCCAAAAAACAGATTCTTTGGCACTGCAGGATCACAAAGAACTTTATCAAATAACAGAAACCATGTCACCAACTACTAAAATGGATAGCATATATAACTCAAAGAGAAAATAATGATATAATCCAGATGCTGATATTCCACACTACTAAAAACATAAGGGTTGGAAGGAAACTTCCATCACGACGAGAAAGAGTGAAAGCATTTTGTGGACACAAGAAATTTATTTTTCTGGAAAAAAAAAAAAAATATATATATATATATATATATATATATGTAAAATAAAAATTTCACTCCCTCCAAGCTAAGTAAGGCAATAATGCCACTAAGATGCAAGGGGTTACTGGTCGTGAAAGAGAATTAGAAGACATTAGTAAGGAGAAAGGACAATAAAAATTGATTAAAGAAAACAGAAGTTGCCGATTGGCACTAAATTTAAATCTTTGAAGAGTGTAGGTGATAACAAAGCAAGAAAATAGAAGTCAATCAAAAGGATAAGAGATGAAATAGAAAATCTGGAAGATTGATTTGTTTTTTTAATGGGATATCAACTCCTTATGGGCAATTTAATGCTGAAATTAATTTTCTTGGGAGCTTTGAAGTAATAAAAATATGTTATTCTGCTTTCACAATTGAATACATGGTAGCTGATACTCAGCTTTTGTGCATATACAGGACTTTTGTGCATATACATGTTTCTTTATGGACATCATTGACTAGAGACGATGATATGTGTGTGTTTTATGATATAGGTTATTCTTTCTTGAATACATGGTAGATTCTGCAGCTTTGTGCATATACATGTTGAATACATGGTAGATGATATAGGTTATTCTGCTTTTTGAATGCATATACATGTTTCTATGGACATCATTACATAGAGGCAGTGATATGTGTGTGTTTTTTATGATATAGGTTATTCTGCTTTCACAATTTACTCAGAATACATGTTTCTATGGACATAGATGATATCAGCTTTTCTGCATATACATGTTTCTATATACATGACATCATTACTAGAGGCGGTGATATGTGTGTGTTTTATGATATAGGTTATTCTGCTTTCACAATTGAATACATGGTAGATGATACTCAGCTTTTTGTGCATATACATGTTTCTATGGACATCATTACTAGAGGCGGTGCTATGTGTGTGTTTTTTATGATATAGGTTATTCTGCTTTCACAATTGAATACATGGTAGATGATACTCAGCTTTTGTGCATATACATGTTTCTATGGACATCATTACTAGAGACGATGATATGTGTGTGTTTTATGATATAGGTTATTCTGCTTTTGTGCATATACAATTGAATACATGGTAGATGATACTCAGCTTTTGTGCATATACATGTTTCTATGGACATCATTACTAGAGGACATCATGCTATGTGTGTGTGTTTTTATGATATAGGTTATTCTGCTTTCACAATTGAATACATGGTAGATGATACTCAGCTTTTGTGCATATACATGTTTCTATGGACATCATTACTAGAGGCAGTGATATGTGTGTGTTTTTATGATATAGGTTATTCTGCTTTCACAATTGAATACATGGTAAATGATACTCAGCTTTTGTGCATATAATTACTATGGACATCATTACTAGAGAGTGATATGTGTGTTTTTTATGATATAGGTTATTCTGTTTTGTTGAATACATGGTTATATTTTTGGAATACAGTTTGGACATTCCTTTAAGAAATTGTAGGATATTATTTGGATAAATGTTTCATGGAAAGAGTCCTTTGTGTGTTTTATGATTGGTTCTTTTGTGTTGATTTTAGTTTGTGTTTTATGATAACATATGGTAAATGATACCTTTTGTGCTATAATTACTACAGGTTATTTAATACTGAAATATTTTGGAATAAATTTGATTTTGAATATTGTTTGTGTCATGAAAGAGTGCTTTTATGTTGGTTCTTCTTGGATTGATTTTGTTTTGGCAACATATCAGCATCATGGTTATTTTACTAAATCAATTTCAATACGTGTTGTTCAGCATAATTTTTTTTTTTTAATATTTTTTTACATAAAAATGTATTTTTATACTTTCCTAGTGTTTTGTTTTTGCTTGGAGGATTCATTATTTGCCCATAGCTGGGACCCTAACAGGTGCTACCATCCCAGGTCAGGATGGATCTGGGAAAAAACAGCAATTAAGAAGTTGTTCCATGCTCATAAAAACCTGTAATCTCCATATCAGAGTCCTTGCTACCGGATGTAGTTTATCATCATACAAGACTACAGGGAGATTGAAGATTGTGATCAACAGGTTACAAATGATGGAAAATGTTGAATCTAATTTGGATGCAAAATTTAGAATGAAAGAGAGAACTGCTGTATTCAAATCAACATCACAAAGTGAACAAATAGGAAACCTTATGCCACTTGGTCAAGCTAAAATGATTGTACTGATAACCACTGGGTGCTTACCTTTTTCCACATAATTTGAAGGAAAGAATCCTTGTTGGCCCGATGGAGATTCTCCCATCCACCAATGTTCTGTATCCTTGTAGAGCACTTTCAAAATATCACCTTCAGCAAAATTTAGTTCATCTGAACGTTGGGCTTGGTAATCGTAGAGGGCAACGACCTGGAATTAATAAATAGAAGCAAAAAAAAAAAAAAAAAAATTAAGGACCGGAATATAAAAAGGAAGAAAAAAATCCAAATAAAAATTTAAGTATAATTTAATAATTGACAATATTCTTGTATTATTTTGAACTAGTCTTTTCATCTTGGTTATCTTTGATAATTTAGACACATTTCAACCAAGTACCCACTGGTCAGCATCAGGGCCAATATATCACAATAATCAACAGATATCCTATATGAGCTAATGATATAAAATACAAGAATATTAACAATCACTAGCTGATATAGGATATCTGTTGATTATTGTGATGTCCCAAAAAATCATGTAAAAAAAGAAAAATGCTGAAAACAATCACAATAATGAAAATTTGAGAATCCGAAATTTTAGGATTGCATGGCTGGACCCAACCCAGAATGTTTATAATTTGCTCATGGAATCAGCCTGATTCCAAATATTTATTACAATTTTCGCCCTTTAGTATCTGTCATATTTATGAGGTATTATGTTTATTTACATTATTCAGACTATTGTTCCCTTTGTTGCAATTTTAGTATCTGGCCCTTTAGTATCTGTCTATTTTTCTGAGATGAGGTATTATGTACATTATTTACATTATTCAGACTATTGTCCTCATCTTTTTATCACAACGTTTGGGCCTTTCAGTATCTGTCTAAGGAGAGATGAATTATGTAAATTTACATTCGACAATTTTATTTTGAAACACTGTAATTTGAGAACAGTAATTTTTTTTGAAACACTGAATTTGAGCAGTATTTTTTTAAAGAGCTATTGAAAGTTAGAGAGTTGTGTCCCTTTAATTGTTTTTTATCAGTAGAAGCCAAGATGGTGGAATTTGAAAACAATTGCAGTAATGAAAATTGGGAAATCAAAATTTCAGGATTGCAGGTCCAGATCTGGCTCGGAATGTTTTTAATTTGTTCACAGAGTCAGCCTGTTTCCAAAATGGTATATGTTGAACTACACCCTCTAGGAGTAAAGTTGAAAAAGTGTGACATAGTGACCCATTGACATTCACATTTATTTATATATATATATATATATACACACACACATGAATATATTATGAAATGGATTAAGTCAGACAATTATTTAATATATTTTAATAGATAAAATTTATTTAAATGCTCTGTTTTTTAAATAAACAGTATTAACTACATTTACCAGCCTGAATGTAAGTATATCATAATATCATATTTATATATATATATATATATATATATATATATATATGCACACACACACAATAAAAATTATAATATCAAGGTATGCTATATTTATAGGTGAAAGTGCTCAATATCAGGGATAGAGTGGACATTGAAGTCAACACCCAGTGGTAACAGTCTGTTTCATGCTCAAATATTATTGCCAGGACATATTCCACAATATACATATGCATATATAAACAATCTCAAAATTGGCTACAGTGGGGGAAGCTATTAAATATTACAAGTACATAAATATAGAAATGATGATATATGAAGGTAGACTTACTTCTTCATGCTGTGCCCCTTTTGGTGTTTCAAAGCTGAATTGCAATGAACCACTGACCTAGAAAGAGAAAAAAGGTATAATAAATGTCTCTTTTATGGGAGAAATGTAAAATGCATCCACCACAAGTGTTTATTTATTAAAAATGAGTGCAAAAAAAAAAAAAAAAAAAAACAAAAAGAAGATCTCTGAAATAATGAATCAAAAATTAGAATCATGTAAAAAAAGAAATATGCTGAAAACAATCCCAATAATGAAAATTAGAGAATCTGAAATTTTAGGATTGCATGGCTGGACCCAGCCCAGAATGTTTATAATTTACTCATGGAGTCAGCCTGATTCCAAAATTCTTTGTCGCCATATTTATTACAACGTTTCAGCCCTTTAGTATCTGTCTATATTTCTCAGATGAAGTATTATGTACATTATTTATATCATTTGGACTATTGTCCTCATCTTTGTCGCCATATTTATCACAACGTTTCTGCCATTGTACGCTCCAGCCTTCTTCAGGTGGTTGGAATGTCACATGGCACAGTGGATAAAGGCATTGGTTAGATCCAGTGACAGGACCCAAAGAGTGTGAGTTCAATACCCGGTTAAGGCAGTGGAGAACTTTATTAACAAGATTAAGAAGATAATGATTGACATTGAATTAAAATTTTTAAAGATCAAAGTTGACTGAATGAAGAGATTTCCAAAAGCCAGAAGTGCAATAGAAGAAAGAGCTTACTATTACATCTAGCTGCTTCAACTGTAAAATGATGATACATTTCCACTAATCTAGTTCAAAGAAGAAAGTTCATCAGAACAATTACAATGATCATATTTATAGAAAAGGAAACAGGGAAGCTGCATTATGATAGTGGGAATGTGACTAAAGCCAAGATGCCAGGTCAGGACTGATAACATTGCAGATTCTTCTTTGGATTTTATCAAGAATCTCTAAATATATAGTAGAAGTGCCAGACTGTCAGCAGTATTCAATATATGTAGGAATGGTAGATTGGTAATAAAAGTTCTACGTACTTTTTATTACCTTTCTTTCCTTCTTTTCACATTTTGTTTCTTAACAAATGAACATGATTGTCATAATATTTCATTATTTACATTATTCAGGCTATTATCCTCATCTTTGTTGCCATATTTATCACAACGTTTCGGCTGTTGTACGCTCCGGCCTTCTTCAGATTGTTGGAATGTCAAACTGAACCCTTTATTTCGCTCACTGGGCTAAACTGTTCTAGTTCCATGTGCCATGTTTGATGGATGTCAGTTGTCAGTTATTTCCTGTTAATTTCCCTCTGAAAGTTCTCCACTGCCTTAACCGGGTATTGAACTCACACTCTTTGGGTCCTGTCACTGGATCTGAACTGAACCCTTTATTTCGCTCATTGGGGTAGACTGTTCTTGTTCAGCTCGCAGCAATTACAAGGGCAACAATCAAGTAGGGCAGAAAATATTTGTCAATATTTCTGAGATGCAGTATTGTAAATATTTACACTATTTATATCGTTTGGATTGTTGTCTTCATCTTTACTGCCACATTCATGATGTTTCAGCCATTTTATGCTCAAGCCTTCTACAAGTGATATTTGTTTGAATTTCAAACCGAACCGTTTATTTAGTCCACAGAATAGATTATTCTAATTCCACATACCATGCCTTTGGATATCTCAGTTTTATTTAATTCGCCTTGATAACTTCCGAATTTTATCTCTCTGCTGAAGCGACAGTTTAAACTGACAATTTTTTGGGACAAGTCACTTTTTGGATCAATCGACCAACACTTATCTACTGGACCACGTGGACTAAATAAAGGGTTTGGCTTGAAATTCCAACAAATATAACCTGAAGAAAACCAGAGTGTATAATGGCTGAAACGTCATGAATGTGACAATAATGAGGACAGCAGTCGAAACAATGTAAATAGTATAAATAGCAGAAAATATGTTTAGTGATAATCACTTACTGTATTAACAGCTTTCTTTCGAGAAGTAATTGGAGATGCAACCAACTTGGATCCAAAAGGGTTAACTGGAAAAATAAAAAAAAACGTTAGAGCAATCAGGCAATAAATAAAAGAAAGGTATAAAGAGAGAGAAATGATTAATGAATGCAGACTATACAATAATTTAAAGAAAAATAGAAGTAGCGTATATATATATATGTATAAGTGCGCAGGTATGCAGAAAATAGAAAAGAACACATTGGTTCCATAATCCTGGGTTCCTTAGTATTTTTGTTTTTATTTTTAAGAAGACAGTGCTCCATACAGAAGTAGAGTTTATTATAATAATATTTTTGTTTAAAATAAATATGCATTCCTTCTCAGTTTGCAAGAAAAGAGTTCTCATTTTCAAAAAACGAGAGCCGAACCACAATTCAACTTAATTTTAATAATTATTTGGATGGTTTCGGCTCTCGATTTTGGAAACATGAGAACTCTTATGTAAAAATCTGATTTTTAAGAATCATATTTTTAAACGCAAAAATATTATTATTATTTATATATATATATATATATATATATATAATAAAATATAGTTTTAAGGTATGCTATATTTATGGGTTAAAGTGCTTCAATATCAGGGATAGAGCATATGTGAATATATAAGTGGACACTGAAGTCAACACCTACAGGTGACAGTCTGTTTCATCCTAAATGCAATCGTCAGGCCTGACAATTGCATTTAGCATGAAACAGATTGTAACCTCTGGCTGTCGACTTCAATTTCCATTTTATATATAAGTAAGTATTTCAAAATAGAAGAGTGGATCGTTCTAACAAATCCAACAAATCAATTATATATACTTAAAAGAGAAATCAAATTACCAAAATGAAAGTGTATAGAAAGTGCTTTAATCACTAGATCATCCAGAGTAAATTTACATTCAGATTCTTACAACATTTCACCTTTGTTGAAATATTTAATAATAAAAGTGATTGGAAAATGAACCAAGTCTATAAAATGGGTTGAATAAAAATAGATGTACCGCATATACTAAAGTATTTTTTTGAAGAGCTTTAAAATCATGAATTCTCAGTGACTGATTGAACTACATACAGGTATATTTTTTCTGGAGAGGTTAAAATTCATGTAAAAATGTTCAGGTGTTGCACTATACATGAAGTCAGATTATACACGAGTAGATATGATATATCCGTTTTCTATATTTACATCTAATGTGACTTCCGACTTCTTTATATAAAAGACAGATCCATTTTATAGTCATATATCTATTTTTATTTTCATTTTCTTAGATCTTATATTATCACAATGTGGGATATTTAATAACAAAAGTGATAAAAATATATATATATATATATATTTTTTTTTTTTTTTTTTTATTTTTTTTCAGCTTTTGGAAGTAAAGTCTGATGATCCAGAACCCTGTTAAAGGGGTTATGGTGAAATAACTTATTACATGGAATCTTAACGTGGTCTGTCTTTTATTCAAAAAATATATATATATATATATATATATATATATATATATATATATATAAAATTCTGTGATGTCCATGTGTCCCTCACACCCTCTAAAATAGCCATACATTGAGTGATCAAAACCAAATTTTGGGGAGAAGTGCAAACAGATAAAGGGGTACAAAGTACCATTTGTTTTGCTAAGATATGTAAAAACCATGAAGGGGGGGTAAAAAAATTTTCCCAAACAATTCAGCTTATTCAAATTTCATCGATTGGTTTGCAAAAATTGAATAAAATGTAGAGTTTGTAAATCTTGACAAAAAATGTTACCAACAACTTCAACAATACCAAATACTATGAGGATTTCAAGATGCTAATGTATGTTGCAAAAAAAAAAAAAAATTTAAGTAAACAAAAAGAAAAAGAAACTAATTGAAATTAGCTAAACTATATACTGAAACACATATTTAAAAAAAATTAAATTTAAATTTAAAATTTCAGCAGCCCCATTTTTATGCATATGTGTAATCACATCAATGTAAACATCACTTTAGTCCGTTAATGTCCTCAAGAATGAAATATATCACATGAAATATTTTTTCCACTTTGTTATAGATTTTCCTAAAATTTTCATGTATAATGTGACTCCTTATAGCTGTATATAAAAAGCATGGATTTTTTTTTTCAGGATATAGTTAGTCATGGCTCTCCACAATTTCCTTTTCTTTAATATCTGAAAAATGTCATGATAGTTCTTGAGAAAGGTAGTAGAGTGGATTACTATTGACATTCCACAGCTTGGAATTCAGAGATGTCTCTCTCCTAAATTAGTTTTCTTACTAAACCTAGTCCATTGCACCCGGCTATTTTACCCATAGAAGTCCTGGATATGATGAAAAACTACATCCGTCAGCAAGTCCTCCACCGTCAGCACCAATTAAGAGGTGGTTCCATGCTTCTCAAGTCCTCCCATCAGGAGGTTTTGAGAAGCATGGAACCACCTCCTCTTAATTGGTGCTGTTCTTAGGTCCACTCTGACCCAGGGTGGTAGCACCTGTTAGGGTCCCAGCAATGGGCAAATACTTAACCCACAAGCTGGAGTCAAAACAATATGAAAGTGTAGAAATACATAAATCTTGCAACCTGGATGACAGTAGGCTTTAGTAGCACACTATTTACATTATTCAGACTATTGTCCTCATTTTTGTTGCCATATTTATTACAACATTTCGGACATTAAACTGAACCCTTTATTTCGCTCACTGGGGTAGACTGAATGTTTTAATGGATGTCTGAAAGTTCTCCACTGCCTTAACCAGGTATTGAACTCACACTCACACTGGATCTAACCAACGCCTTTATCCACTGTGCCATCTGTCCTTGAGGACATCTGTGTATGAATTTCTGGGTATTATAAACCTAATGTCTCAGCAACCATTTTGTACCATTGCAATTTTTTTTTGCTGTTATCATTGCATGTTTTTACCAAAGCTATTGTCTATGATCTCAACCTGATCCCACAGAGGGCGGTGATCTCCCTTTTCTCTCCACATGTGGTCAGCCACACCTGATTTTTCCACTTCCCCTCATGTTACAGCTTTCTGGTGTTCTTGAAACCTTACCTTAAGGGGACATTCCAACCACCTGAAGAAGGCCAAAGCGTACAATGGCCAAAACGTTGTAATAAATATGGTGACAATAATACCAGATGAGAACTATAGTCCAAATAATGTACATAATACCTCATCTCAGAAATATCGACAGATGCTTTGGTAGCAGTCTTCAACAAACGGATGTCCTGGTACAGTTGCCATAGTGGTTTGGTGTATGATCCACCTCATGCGGATACGGTGAGGCACAGAGATCAAAAGTGGGATCAGCGGATTTCTCAAATGCTGCAAAGATTTGAGATGATATCTAGGACAGACAATCCCGTGAAAACTTTGAAAAACCAATAATATGGCTGGTTCTCTGTGAGAGCTAGCCGACTGCTGCCTACCCCAGTCACTGGGACACCTGCAGCAGTATAATCAATGCACCAGATAAGAAAAGAAAAAAAAGTCAGAGGAAGATTAATAACCTACCTAATGGTATTAGTGAAGACAACAACCTCCACCAGAACTTGAACTTGGCTTGTCAATTCATTTTTCATACTATAAAATATTATGCTACCTGCATAATTCAAAAAGCCTGAATATATATATATATATATATATATATATATATATATATATATATATATATATATAAAATTAGGTTAGTGCAAAAATAACGACGTAATAATGTCGTTTTTTTGACAATATATTTATTTATTTATTTATTTCACCTGTAATAAATAATCCCTACTTTACTTTGCATAGAAGGTATAAAAGAAAAGACTTTCAATTTGCACAGCACATTCTCTTATAAGATTATTTTTAGATGCTAGAGTATTATCCCCTCTGATTGTAGAGCTGAGACTAAAACCAAACGATAAGGTACTACTGAAACATTCAGGAAATTTGATTATGAAAAAGAAAGAAAATTAATTACTAGAAAAGAGAGTGAATCCTTTGAAGTAGTTCCTTTTCACTTGCATGTTTTATATGTGGGTGATCTGAAAAGTTCATAGGCTGACTATGAAGAAATGATGCTAGAGCTGTGAAATCTTGCATGCATTAATTTCAACTCTTCATATTGATAAACTAGCAGCATGGCCCGGCGTTGCCCGTGCTTGATTCAAAAATCGTACGACTCATACAGCAATCGCTATCACTTGACTTAAAATATTTTTGCCCTTCCTTGCCTTTAAACGAGTGCCCTTTGCCGTGCTGATGTTGCTGCATGCCTTACTTCTTGCATATCTCACACTGCGAATTTTTTCTAAGCTCTATACTAAACATTAAATCTGTTATGAAAACAGAACTAAACAAAATGAACACAAAACGATCAGCTTTAAAAAAGGACTCATAACTGGAAAAAAACGAATGAAAAAAGAATGTTAACAACAAATACTTTTTCACACCCAACCCAATTCTGCGGAATCAGAATCAATGTTGAGTTTAAGCAAGCGAATGAGCCAATTGGAGTAAAGTGCCATGCAGATTTAAATTTTTCCCACTTGTGACGAATGCAGCTATCGATTTTTTTTGCATGCTAGCATGCTAGTTAACATTTGTGTCAGTCAACTGTTGGCTCTCACGCTGGCCAATAGAATCTTCCTGCCTATTCGTGGCAGCCAGCTATTGGCTCTCAGTCTGGCCAGTAGAAAATGGCTGCAAACTACATGAAAACTGCTGTAGAAGCATGAAAAAGTCAATTATTTCCACTATCAATGGGAATTGGGAAATGCAAAGTCAGTCTTGGCCTTCCCGCTAACTTGGAGCATGTGCATGTAAATTTTGGTGTAAATTCATCAAAAATTGCAGCCGTGCATTCGTTACACACACATCCTGCCTTTTATAGATAGAGATAACTATAAAACAATTTTTTATTCCTTACTTATTTACATTATTTGGACTGTTAGCCTCATCTTCATTGCTATATTCACAATGCTTCGGATATTGTACGCTTCAGCCTTGTTTAGGTGATTGGAATTTTAAACCAAACCCTTTATTTCATCCACTGGGGTAGATTGTTCTAGTTCCACGTGTCATGCCTCTTCTGGATGTCTCAATAATTTCCCTTTAACTCAACTCTCCAAGTTTGGTTCACTACTGATGTGGCCTGGTATTGAACTCACAACTTTTTGGGTCTAGTCACTGGACCTAAACAACGTCTTTCTTTATTGACTGGGCCGTGTGTCCTTCAGGACATCTGTGTATGAATTTTTGGGACTTATAAAGCTAATGTCTCAGCATCATTTTTTACCAATGCTCATATTGCAATTTTTCTGTTATTATTATTGCATTTTTTATCAGAGCTTATATTGCAATTTTTGTTGTTACTCTTTGCTTTTCTCAAGCACTCCTTATTCCCATATTGTATTTTTCTATGCTTGGTCAGCTCAAAAGATTTTTGTGGCCTAGCAAATGTGCTGATTCCTTAGGTTTTTGTATTTTCCAGTGATTTTCTCTGCCTATAATTTTAACTTCAGCCCAAAGAAGGTGTTGATCTCTCCTTTTCTCTCGATATATAGTCAGCTATGCCTGATTTTTCTATTTCCACTCATGTTATGGCTTTATAATGTTCTTGCAGTCTTACCTTAAGGAGCAGCCAGTTTCTCCTTTATATTTCTTGCCACACCTCCTGAAATATATTGCATACACACAAACCTTAAATCATGCTCCTTTATGGGTGGTCTTAATTGGAAGAGATGTGGGTGTAGAGTTGAACCAAACCTGAACGTTGTCCTGATGGACCACAGATCTTTCGTATCTTTTCTGATAAGGTCGGAGCATACAACAGCCGAAACATCGTGAATATGGCAATGAAGATAAGGAAAACAGGCCAAACGATGTTAATAGCGTAAATAGATAACTTATTGTTTTAATTTTCCAGGAGTGAAGGCGTCAACTAGCTATTATACATTCATTGGAAAATGGGCAATAATTTCTATCTAAATTTGATTGATTAATTGATTAATTTCATTTTTACAGGTTATCAATAATTTTATTGACTGATTAATTCATTTTCTTCTTTGAAGCCAGAAAATATTTACATTCTAGGAATATTTAGATAATGCTTTAGTGATGAAGAGGTGGACTCATATCTTTCGCAAGAGTATTTGCACATAAGTGAATATAACAAAGCAATAGGAAATAACAATTCCGAGCCATTATCCATCACACCACCCACATATCCCAGATTAAAGCACCTTGTATTCCTAATTACTGACTAGGCTTGACGTTGCTAAACTTTGGTGCTCGTACAGTTTTGTGATGTCAACGAACACTCATTGCTAATTTTGTGATGTCAACGAATACTCATTGTCACTTTCGTAATGCTCGTTGTAGTAGAGACTTTGTAATCGCAGATGCAACGATAGTAACGCTATTGAACAATACTGGTGTCAGATGCCTTCGAATACCACTCGCACTAATAGTACTTGCTCGATAATACTCGCTCGAATAGTAACCACCGAATAGTGATCCGAATAGAGAAATAGTATAGTGAATAGAGTAGAGAATAGCGGTCCGTATAGTAATAGAGGATAGACTAGAAATGACGATTATTTAGACTTCATGCTACCTCATACTTTACATTTCCACCATGGTCATGTGATCCACTTCAATAATCTAGCAATCTATGTTCAAACTCAAGTCTCAGCAGCAACACTTTACTCCTATATAACATACAGGAACTAGTGTTTCACCATGTGGCTGTAAGCCTTCATCAATCTTTTGTTGCTTATTTAAAACTGAAATATAGCATTGTAAGAACAGTTCTTTGTTTGGTGAGTGAAAATTGCATTAACAATTTTTTGAGAATAAAAATTATTTTCCCAGATACAAGTTTAACCCATATAGGGGGTATTTAAAATTTTCTTGCCAGTTCTGAAGAAAAAAAAAACAGAATGCATAAGTTCAGTTCCATATGCTTGGGTTTCATTAAAATAATAAAAATTGCCTAGGAAGAATAGACTAAATACGAAGTCAAGAGAAAAAAAACGTAGTTTTGAAAAACTGTTTTTGTTTTGTTTTTTGCTCTGGGCATCATTGCTGAAACAACAAAATGTGTAGAATGTGAATAAATAACTTCAAAAAATTCAGTGCTTTGCAATGCAATTCACTTGAAAACCAAATTTTTGTCAGACAAAATGTTGAAATACAAAGAGAAGCACTTACACAATGTGTGATCGGAGCATAAGGGTACTGAACTTTGAGCTGAATATTTGTTTTCTCGGAAGAACTGCTCCTGACGAAGAGCCATTTCTAAAGGCTGATGAGCAAGCGGAGAGAACATGGAAGGACTTAGAGTCTGAAAGTAAAAACAAAGAAAAAATTGTTGGGAAAATTCCTCTCTTTTCAGTGTGTATGTGCATATATACATTAGCTGGTATGCAAATATGCAAACTTCTAAATATGTATGCAGATGTCTACAATATATAAGGATATAAATGATAATGATGTAATGATTAACAAGTTAATCCTATGGATATTCAGTACTAAGTAGTGAGTTTCATCCTAATTGGGTAATTCAGGCTTGTGGTTTTGGGATAAAAATAAAGTTCACTTAGTGTGTGTGTATGTATATATATATATATATATATATATATATATATATCTCGATGGATAAATTGTCGTTTAAATTATGCAATAATGAAAATAACACTGACTTCTCATTTTAACAGATATATTTACCAAAATTACACAAAAATATCTTGAGTAAATTTATTCAATAAAATCGCCATCGGTTTCAACCATGGCCTCTAGACAACTTCAGAATCTCCTGCAACTCTTCTGGATGGCCTCCTTGTTTAATGCAGCCATAATCCTTACCTTCAGCTCATCTTTGGTGTTACAAGGAATTTTATTTTATTTTATTATTTTATTTTATCTTATATGTTATTTTATCTGCACCCCATGCATAATAATCAAGGGGTTACAGTCTGGGGAGTTAGGTGGCCTGATACAAGGGGTGATGCGGTCATAGAAATTGTCTGACAATGATGACTGGGTTCTCCTGCTTGTGAGTCCTGTTGGCAGACATAGGGTCTTCCAGTAGCCATACCCTTGACACAAGAGCAGCACTACCTCCTCAAGGCACTTGATGTGGGCTTCTGTGTTGAGTCTGAGGTCATGTGGGAAGACGAATGGAGTCATAATGCTGCCATCAATCATGATCACCATTAGACTCATCTGACTATTTCCGAATCCACGTATTGGAACTTCTGGCACGAATGCTAAGCAGTACAGCATGCTGTTTTCAATTTTCCGATGGAGTGAATTGCATCATGGTGCTCATTTTCTCACAGATGGTACACAATTTACCTGACTATACTGTGCGACAAAATCAAAAACAAACAACATACATGCAAAATTAAAAATATTAAATGGCGACAATTTACCCATCGCACCCTCTCTCTCCCTATATATATATATATATATATATATATATATATATATATATATAAACAAGGGCTAATAATTTCTTATTTGAGCCCACCTCCCAAAATCTTACCATATTTTGAATCCCTTGTCTTTTCTGGATATCCCAATTTCAGTTAATTCCCTTTCGTAACTCAACTCTCCAAGTACTGAACTCACAACTCTTTGGGCCAAGTCACTTTTCTGGATTAGTCAACACTTTAATCTACTAGGAGTCATCAGTGAGTGAATTTTGGGGACTTATAAACCTAATATCTCAAAAACAATTTTTTTTTACAACGCTAATATTGCAATTTGTTATTATTGTTCATTTTTCTTTTTAACTGATACCAAGATATCCAAAAAAGGAATGGCGTGTTGAATTAGAACAATCTATCCCCATGGGCTAAATAAAGAGTTTGGTTCAAAATTTCGCCTGGAGACTGTCAGAGTGTACAATGGCCAATATATCATGAATATGGCAATAAAAATGAGGACAACAGTCCAAACAATGTAAATAATTATAAAAATATATATAAAAAAAAGAAAAAAGTTTTAAATTTAAAATTTGTGATGAAGTTGCATCAAAATAAACCTCATTTTAGTCAGATGACGTCCTAAAGGACAAAATGAAAACTTTTAAGTTTTGTCATAGTTTTCATCTAATATATATATATATATATATATATATAATTATTTATTTTAAAAAAATTATAACATAAATATGTTATAAAATCACTACAAAAATAGCCATTTTGTTTCAACAACTCCAGTGTCTTATCAAGTGATCATCACTTGATAAGACACCGGAGGTGTTGAAACAAAATGGCTATTTTTGTAGTGATTTTATAACATATTTATGTTATAATTTTTTTAAATAAATAATTATATCTGCTCTACTTGTCTTGAGCACTCTTAAGAATAGTAATTGTTGGTTATTGGAATTTATTCTGTATACAGACAATTTTATATATAAGATTGGTGTAGATAAAATAAAATTCCAATAACCAAAAATGCTATTCTTAAAAGAGTGCAAATATTATTTATTCTAAACTTATAGCATAAACAAATGGTTATTTTTGTAGTGATGTTATAAAATCACTACAAAAATAGCCATTTTTTTCAACACTTCTGGCGTCTTCTCAAGTGATGGTGTTGAATGTAGAATAAAGAGTTTTAAAAAGTTCAAATCAACCAAACACCCCTCGATAGGGGAAATGCTGTTACACAAGCTGCAATGACCAATCAAAATCAAAGGATATGAAAATTCAAAAAACTTGACAATGAACCTTAGTTATAATAATTAATTCCTTAATGTTAAGGTTAGACTAAAATAGAAATCATTCTGATTAACATTAAATTTTACTATAAAATTGAAAATAAAAATTACCAATTTTAAATTTAACCTATATTAAGTTTAAAATATTATAAAATTGTTTAAAAGAAGAAACTGAGGAAAATATACATATATTATATATATATATATATATATATATATATATATATATATATGTATGTTTGTGTGTGTGTGTGTGTGTGTGTGTGTGTGTGTGTATCATACATATATTATCCTATCATGTATTAATGTAACATGAATTATTGCCTAATAAAAAGTGATCTTAATAAATTTCCTTTTTATGAGAAAGCTTAAAGCCTTTTAATGAGAATCTTTCCTGTGTTTGTAATAAAAAAAAATGCTTGATTTCTCAAACAAACACCACCAAGCCCTATTGATCCCTTTTCATCTGATCCCACATTTCCTTTGGTTAAACGCCTGTCCAACCATACAGCCATTCATGTCACACCCCTGCATTTGTCAGGGGGTGTGACAGGAGGTGGTGGCAGTCAAAATATGGCAATATTTTTTTCCACCCTCCTTTGCTTGCAAGTCTGGTCTTGCACTTCATTCCACCAGTTCCTGAACTTGTATTGTTTTACAGCTTATCTGAAATCAATATTCCCTTTGAGCGTTACAGAACTTGCGCTTTGCCAATTGACTGCATTGGTTTACAATAGCAAGAAGAACAAAGTTTGACTTTTTATTTTATTTTTTATTGCTGTTCGTTTGTTTTTCACAAGAAAGGATAATGTTGATGGTTTGTCAATTTATTTATTCAGCCCTTATTTATTTTATGAAGTTTCTTTGTTAGTTCTTTAAGTTCTCATTATGCACTTTTTGATCTGTCTTGGCTTGTAAGGACTTGCACACACATATATATATATATATATATATATATATATATATAGATAAGGAAGAGGTTATAGTAGTTCCAATGAGAGAAAAGTGTATATTAAAAAGAAGAGAGAAACCACAAACGTTTTTGGTTGTAATGTGGATTTTTTAAAAAAAAAATATTATGCTTTATTTTCCATAATTTTGCTACACGTGTTTCCGGTCTTGTATCCGTCATCAGGCAAAGGGTGCAGATTTTCACATATTATTAAAAATAATTCATTTTTTCTTTATGTTTTTCGATGTTAAATATTCTCGATATGAGACATTTTCTTTTTGTGTTCGTGATCCAAACGTCTTTCTTGAAGTTGCAGTGAAAATTTCTGCATGAAGGGTTATAAAACAATTAAGACTGGTTTGTGAAATGATGGAGTAGTTATCAGCATGCTTATCTTTTAATGACCCCTGTGTGTTGTTAGATCTATTTCCATTTCCGTGTGCTTTTGTCAGCATATGTGTATATCCCCTCTCCATATATACACACAGTCTCACTACGAGGAATCAATGAACATATCTGTACACCCATATATATATATATATATATATATATATATATATATATATATATATATATATATACACACACACATATATATATATATTTTAATTTAAATAAAAAACTGACCACTTTAAGGTTCCATGTAATAAATTATTTCACCACAGACATTTTAAAAGGACTATGGATCATCAGACTTTACTTCCAACAAAAAATGAAAAGAAAATTTACACATTTTTGACGGGTCATATTAAACATATGTAAATTAGCAAAGTGAGTTAGCAGACATTGACACATGTCAATGTCTGCTAACTCACTCATGTCTTCTCTCCCCACTCACTTCCTCACTTTGTTAATTTACATATGTTCAATACAGCCCGTCAAAAATGTGTAAATTTCTTTTCATTTTTTGTTTCAACCTTTGAAAGTAAAGTCTGATGATCCGCTGTCCTTTAAAAGGGTTGTGGTGAAATAATTTATTACATGGAACCTTAAAGTGGTCTTATTTTTATTTAAATTATTTGCTCTGGATTTACATTGAGCTCTCTGGATTTTATCCTCCTTAGGTTTACCATACGGATTACCTATATTTTATATATATAATATATATATATATATATATATATATAGAGAGAGAGAGAGAGATGTATATAGATATATATGTATTTTTTTTAATTCTTTCAGAACATAGGCAATCATAGATTTCTCCACAGCTTCCATTTCTGTGTCCCTCTGTGTTCTTTAAATACAGAAGTATAATCAGTTTTACAATATATATCCACCCTCTTGATTTCAAAGAATTGTGTAAAAATTGAAGGTTGCAAGACTTTTTCCAAACTAATTTGATAGATCACTTCAGGCCGAGGGGACCTTCTCTTCCTATTTATCATATATTCAATAACAATGACAAAATTAACACATTCTTCTTTATGTGCAATGTCCCTTCAAGATGTGATTATAGCTCTCCACAACTTCCTGTCCCTTGTAGCTCTTAATAAACTGTCTTTCTGTTATTTCTCCTAAGCCCTATTCCGCCAAACATTTTTAATAAGCTCACTAAGTGTCATACTTAGTGAGCTTGACTAAAATGTTTTGCATTATTTTTCTCTGCCCTTCTTGCCCTGTGAGTATCAGATTTTCCAAGCCCTCCTTCCTCATTATGCGCCCCAGAAACCTCAACTGTCTCTTCCTGATGATAAGTATTAGTTTCTTTTTTGTTTCCATTTTCTCCAAAATATTGTCGTTGCTCGCATGTTCAGTCCATAGTATATGCAGCATCCTTCTGTAGAAGCACATTTCTGTTGCTTCAAGTCTCCTCTTTATCTTTGAGGAGATCAGCATTCACTGCCTGTTGCATCCTTAGAGAGGTTACAAACAGACAAAGGCAGTACTCGAGTGAAGGAACAGCAACACGCGCACAGATGAAAGAAGAGAGGTTCACTGAAAAAGAGAATACACTACTGAAAGACAGGGAATTGGGTGGCAGGCTAGTAATTCCCAAAGCAAGCCCCCAGGTATATCCTGTGCTCACCATATATAGCTACTGATATAGTCAGTCCACATAGACGATAGGAAGTGTGGGACATTCCATTACAACACTGCTATATTGGAGGATAGATGTCATGTTGCAATTTAGTACTCTTTTCCTTGTTTTGAGAAGAATTTTTCGATTTCTCAGTATTCTGCTTAGCTTTTAGAATGCTTCCTTGGCTATCACAATACACCTTCAGATTTCACTGTTGCTCTTTCCGTCCTCTGTTAAAACACTCCCCAGATATTTAAATTTCCGCACTTGTTTGATTTTCCTATTTGAAATTTGGGATCATCCTTTTGCTGACAACGATGCATTCTGTTGTTTTGCAGTTGATGTTTAATCCTTTTCTTTTCCTTCACTACCTTCTGTCGGAGTTTCCTTAAAATTTTAACTCTTTTTTTTTTTTTTCCCCGACCCTACCTCTCTGGTTAATGGTAATCCTAGCACTAGTTTATTTTAAATTTTAGCTAACCCCTCTCTAAAAATTTGGACGCCATGAACTAATGGGTTAATTTCAGCATCCCACCTTAGAAGTTAATTAAACAAAAGAAGGCATGAAACTTTTGAATTATTAAATTCAGAGGGTGACTCCAAACTTTCAGCATACAGTGTGTGTGTGTGTGTGTATGCATATATATATATATATATATATATATATATATATATAGGGTAACTACACTCGTCTCAGAAAAACCTTCAGTTTCTTGATTTGCTAATGGTCAAATCAATATCGAAGGAAAAAAAGGTTTTAAAAAAAGAAAGAGCTAGGAACATGAACGTCTGTCGAAAATAATCATACAGCATACAGGTCCAAAGCCCAAAGAAAAAAAACCCGATATGAGTAATCAACTAACTAAAAAGTGCTCAATGCAAAAGTATTAAAAGGACTACATATATATATATATATATATATATATATATATATAAATATAAAAAAGGAAGAAGGTTATAGTAGTTCCAACGAGAGAAAAGTGTGTATATTAAAAAGAAGAGAGAAACTGCAAACATTTTTGGTTGTAATGTGGATTTTTTTTTTTTAAATGTTATGCTTTATTTTCCATGTATTTATGTAAAACACACATTTTTTTTTTTCTCTCTCTCTCTCTCTTATATATATTTTATAAGTAAATACACATGTATATAAATTGTTAAATATGTATATTTAATAAAGTTTTTGCAGTAAGTCTTCTTCTTAATGCCATGTCCCTTCTGGATTGTAGGCAATCATGGCTCTCAACAATTTCCTGACCTTTGTAGCTTGTAATAAATTTTGTCTTTTTGTTATCTCTCCTAAATCTTGTTCCACCATCCATATACTGAAGCTCAGCTAGGTAAGTTATTTTTGTTAGACCCTCTTGACCTCAATCTTTCCTGTGCATATCAAATTTTCCAAGCCCTCTTTCCTCATTATGTGCCCTCAAAATTTCACCTATCTCTTCCTGATGTTAAGCATGAGTGTCCTTTTTATTTACATTTTCTTTAAAACTTGGCTTGCATGTTCGGTCCGTGGTATCCTCAGCATCCTTCTGTAGAACCACATTTCTGTTACTTCCAGTCTCTTCTTCATCTGCGAGGATATTGTCCGACATTCACTGTCATATATGAGGACTGACGTTGTGTAACAGATCAAAACTCTTTGTTTCTAACAAAATTTTTTTGTTTCTTAATACTTTGCTTAGCTTTTGGAAGGCATCTTTCACTATTCCAAAGCACTTTTGGATTTCATTGTCACACTTTCCATCTTCTGTCAAAAGGTTTGTCTTATCAAAGACATGAGACTGGAATGTATGTATATATCAGTCAGTTATGTGCCATGTGTGATACATGTTTAGGTGATCATGTATCTTTTAATACATGACTGACACGGTAGATTTTTTCCTGCAGTAGGTTGCCATTTCTTTCTGCAGTAGACCAGTTGCCATCCAAGGCTATAGAACCCAGTCTGTCCTGCTATTTACCCATAGCTGGAGGGAGAAGAAGAGAATTCTTACCTTTCCCAAGGGTATTAGTACGTAAGTGAATGTAATAGATTCGACTGGAATTCAAACTTGGCTCTCCGATTCCTCAATCCGAGCTGTTATCCATTAATCCACCGTACATGTACAGATCAGTGGTGACAAGAGTATTGTATACACACACATGTAACATCCGTCGGCCTCAAGAGAACTTGGATTTGAGCCCAAAGAATTATGTGTCAGCCGCTGATGGTGGGGCAGCATCTATTATCGATGTACAGGCCAACACAAGAATGATAGTCTCAATTGCAATGAATGCATGTGAAAACACTCTCCCCCAATGTCCCCCTTGTTGTTTTTTTTTCTGTCAAGCACACTTCTCCCCAATGGCAAACCCTCATTTCTCCTCTCCTCACTCCAGCCCTCAGGTGTAAACCACATCCTCCCCACCTCTCATGTTTACCGTAGTCATGTCCCTTTTGCAGGCTGTGTATGTTTTTTTTTCTCATATTCTTTCACACTCAGTAACCTCTTATGTATTGGTGGATTTATTGCCTTGCTTGGGGTGAAATGATTTAAAAAAAAAAAAAAAAAAATGGGGGAGATGGTACATAAAAATACTTCTTAATCCATTTAGCAATCAATAGAATTTAGCTTTTTAGACGCATTTGTCAAGTAGTTTCAAGTTACCTTCTACACTAAGTATGATAAAATATAACTTTGAAGAAAGACTTACATATACTTCATAGCTCAGAATATGTAATAAATATGAAACAGTTAAAATGGAATACAGAAAAGATAAACATGACTGTCGCCAGGGGAAAAAAAAAAAAAAGCTCAGCAGTATCCAGCAGGGTACTAATGATGGCTGAAAGAAAAGTCTACTTCAACAATTACTCCTCGCACACATGTATTTATGTGTGTGTGTGTGTTGAATGCAACATGACAGACTTACGGAAACTGAATTCAATTTCTTTATGGCTTTTTCATAACGAGTCTTGTTGAGAATATCAAAATTTTCATTTCTTTCACTAGCAAGGCCCTTTGATCTGCTTCTGTAAAAAAAAAAAAAAAAAAAGAATCTTAATTAATGCAGTATAACATATTTGTTGCATGTGTGTGTGTGTGAAAGTAAATGCCAATGTTTAGTATGTTGATATTGTTACATCACTACTAGTTAGACTAAAAGCAGTAGCAACTATATCTTATGCAGGTCAATGATGGCTGTCAGGAAATGGAAAACAATTTCAACAATGCAATATTTTAAATTTTTGTTTTTATATAACCGAGTAAAATAAAAAAATAAAAAAAAAGAGAAAATACACTAATATACATGCAAAAGTAAAAAGAATTTAAAAATTAGGAATTTTGCAGGTGAAAGTTCAGTCACTAAGAAAAAATGATATCCCCATGCCCAGGAACAAGGTCCCAGTGATGCTGTCACTAAAGCATGCTGGGAGGAGAAGAGAGAAAGAGCGAGAAAGACAAGAAATGTCTCATTTTTATAGCTGCTTGACAGAGCCCTCTAATGACTTCTTGGCAAAACTGTCAAATGCTATGTGGGGTTAACCCACAATATAACAATTGCAACAACCCTTTACATACAAACATATACATTAAGAAGTTTTCTTTACAAGCCTCTAATCACTGTTGTAAAAAGTTTAAACTTGAATAGACGAAGGGAAATATTATTTTTAAGACTCATATAAAATATCCACACAACTTTTTTATTTATTTATGATCTCAACCTGGTTCCACAGAGGGCGGTGATTTCCATTTTCCCTCCATATGTGGTCAGCCATGCCTGATTTTTCCACTTCCCCTCATGTAACAGCTTTTCATAGACAAAGAACATCATTGGAAAGTTCATAAACTTAAGGAATCAGCACATATACTAGGCCACAAAAATTTCCTGAGCCAACCAAGCATAGAAATGAATACAATATGGGAACCAGTAATAAGGAGTGCCAGAGAAAAGCGATAACAACAGCAAAAATTACAATATGAGCTCTGATAAAAACATAAAATGATAACAGCAAAAATTCCAATATGAGCACTCATAAAAAAATTGCTGCTGAAGACATTAGGTTTAAAATACCCAGAAATCCATACACAGATGTCCTCAAAGACAACATAGCACAGTGGATAAAGGCGTTAGTTAGATCCAGTGACAGGACCCAAAGAGTGTGAGTTCAATACCTGGTTAAGGTGGTGGAGAACTTGGAGAGGGGAATTAACAGGAGATAACTGACATCCATTAAACATGTCATGTGGAACTAGAACAGTCTACACCAGTGAGCAAAATAAAGGGTTCAGTTCGACATTCCAACTACCTGAAGAAGGCTAGAGTGTACAATATGGCAACAAAGATGAGGACAATAGTCTGAATAATGTAACAGTTTCTTTTATTGCACTTCTCACTTGTGGAACTCTCTTGTAGCTTCTTACTTTCCAGTCAACTTTGACCTTCAAAAATTTAGAGGCAATGTCAATCATTATGTTGTGTCTTCTTAATTCTTGTTCTTTTATTCTCTTAACACTCAGTAACCCCTTGCATCCTAGTGGCTTTATTGCTTTGTTTGTGCTGAAATAAAAAAAAGCTCACAACTGAACCTAATAGATAAGGAAACTGCACTTCTTTTTAATGGAAGTAAACTAAAATAAATATTATCACTTAAACGCTATTTTTAATGGATACGCATATTTGAATAAACACTGTTTATTTATTAGACAGTATGTTTATTTTCATCTACCAGCCTGGAGTGTGCATATTTTTTCTCTAATAAGATTTCTCGAATATTCAGGCTGGGAGACAAAAATAAACATACTGTTTATTAAATAAACGGAGTGTCTACTCAAATATGAGTATCTGCTAAAAATAATGTTCAAGTAATAAAATCTTTCAGATTAATAAATAAAAAAAAATCCATCTCTTTCCTTAAAACAGATATTCATAAATAAAAAAACATGAACATAATCCTACCAGAAAATGACAAGCTGCTGAAAATTCAGATGTTTGCTCAGATTTGGTAAAAAAGGATCAAAGTTGGTAACTTTCCAGCAGCTCCCTGTAAATATGATGAGTGATTAACTCGGGTCGATAACTCAAAAATTAAATTTGCATTGCCTTAGAACTGAGAAAATATAAAATTAAATTCAGTATGTACAGGTGCAGTGATATTTTCCCAATAATAGGAACAAGGAATTAAATATCAAGATGAAATATTATGTCTGTCTATATCTCTGAGATTAGGTACTATGTACATTATTTACATTATTCGGACTATTGTCCTCATCTTTGTCGCCATATTTATCACGTTTCGGCTGGTGTACACTCCGGCCTTCTTCAGGTTGGAATGTCACATGGCACAGTGGATAAAGACGTTGGGTAGATCCAGTGACAGGACCCAAAGAGTGTGAGTTCAATACCCGGTTAAGGCAGTGGAGAACTTTCAGAGGGGAATTAACAGGAGATAACTGATAACTGACATCCATCAGACATGGCACATGGAACTAGAAATACCCCAGTGAGAAAAATAAAGGGTTCAGTTTGACATTCCAACCACCTGAAGAAGGCCGGAGTGTACAACAGCCGAAACGTTGTGATAAATATGGCAACAAAGATGAGGATAATAGCCTGAATAATGTAAATAATGAAATATTATGACAATCATGTTCGTTTGTTAAGAAACAAAATGTGAAAAGAAGGAAAGAAAGGTAATAAAAAGTACGTAGAACTTTTATTACCAATCTACCATTCCTACATATATTGAATACTGCTGACAGTCTGGCACTTCTACTATATATTTAGAGATTCTTGATAAAATCCAAAGAAGAATCTGCAATGTTATCAGTCCTGACCTGGCATCTTGGCTTCAGTCATGTTCCCACTATCATAATGCAGCTTCCCTGTTTCCTTTTCTATAAATATGATCATTGTAATTGTTCTGATGAATTTTCTTCTTTGGAACCTCGACTTTATGAATTTAAGTGCAGTACTAGATTAGTGGAAATGTATCATCATTTTACAGTTGAAGCAGCTAGACATAATAGTAAGCTCTTTCTTCTATTGCACTTCTTGCTTTTGGAAATCTCTTCATTCAGTCAACTTTGATCTTCAAAAATTTTAATGCAATGTCAATCATTATCTTCTTAATTCCTGTTCTTTCATTGTTTTCTCTTCTTAATAATGTTTTTCTTTTTTTTTTGTTTCTTAGTGGCTTTATTGCCCTACATTGGATGAAATGATTAAAAAAATATACTTTTAAAACTCAACGTTGCTCCCATATCATATAGATCCTAAAGAAAGCTAAACTGAACTGACCTGCAAGATATGCACCTGTAATCTCCTGCACTGAATGTGGATGCGATTTGAACCAGTAATGCAACCGTAAGTTCTATGTTAACAGTTTCTTCTCTTACACTTCTTACATGCAGAGCACTGTTCTGGCTTTCTGCTTTCCAGTCAACTTTGATCTTCAAAAATTTAAATTTATCTTCTCTTGCCTTATTCTTTTTCTCATATTTTTTTTATACTCAATAGTACCTTGCATCTTAGTGGCTTTATTGCTCTGCTTGGAGTGAAATGACAATAGCAGAAAAAAGATGGCATGACATTTATACTCACTTGGTCTTATTCAGAGAAGCTTGTAATACGTCTGCTTCACTCTGTTCTAGGGAGGTTGATGTGACAGCATCTGGTTTCAAAGCTTGAGGAGAAAAGTGTTAAAAAGAATGGTTGGAGAGAAACATTTGCTTGGAAGACATGTTTTAAAACACAAATGCATCAATGACATTCATACGTTAATTACTAAACAAGGCAAAAGAAAAAAAAGGAAATCCTTACAATAGAGAATAAGCTATTTATTTACTTGAACTAAATGGTGGTACAGTGGAGCAATAGACAGTGGCTCGGATTGAAGAATTGGAGAGCAGAGTTCAAATTCCAGTCAAGTTCATTACATTCACTTACATGCAAATACACTTGGGAAAGGCATGAATCCATCACTTCTCCCCCAAGCTGTGGATAAATAACAAGACAAGCTGGGGTCCAATAGCATTGAGTAGTAATTGGTTCAGAAGAACAAAAAAAAACAAAATATTCAAAACATGAGAGGTCGTCAACTCAACTGCTCTGGTCTTCGTCTGGTGAAGAGGGTATGTGGAACTCCAGCAGAACGAAAAGCAAAAGCTTTTAAGGGGCTTGATGAAGGATCATCAAGAGGAAGAAGATGATGAAGATCAAAGATCATCTATCCACAACTATGTGTTAAACTCACTAATCCACAATTGACCAAGCATGGTTTGGTTTGGTTTATTTTGTTTTACGGCATATCAACCTCAATGGATTATTTAATGCTGACAAAATTTTTATTTCTGGTAATATGTTTTTCTTCAAAAATCTGTTTCTGGGAATATTTTTCCTTGAAGAAATCTATAGCTGGTCATATTTTTTTAAAGAATGTATAACTGTTTGTATAGCTGTTTTTGGGGGTTTTTTTTTTAAAGTATTGCTGATAATAATTTTTCCTTCAAAAATTATTGTTGGCAATAACTTTTTTTTATTACAAAGTATTTCTGGTATTAAAACCTATTTTTACACAAGTTTGGGTGTTAACTATTTGCCCATAGCTGGGACCCTAACCCCGGGTCAGGGTGGACCTGGGAATACCAGCAATTAAGAGGTGGTTCCATGCTCTTCAAAACCTCCTGATCAGTGGCCTTGCTGTTGGACATAGTTTATCGTCTTACCCAGGACGTGGATATAGTTTATTGTCATACTCAGGACGATGACCAAGCGCGGTAAGTATGACTGCACCCCTGAAGCCATAGTCAACTGGAGTGAGTCCTCCAACAGAAGTGAGAAGGATTTTGATTTGGAAATGAAAAGATTTGGGGTTTTTTTTCCGCGCATTTTGTACAATGTAATGCATACACATACAGGTAAATTTGGGTAAATTGTCACCAGTTTATATTTTTCAACTTGTGCATATACATTGTTTTTTATTTTGTTGACTGCACAGTATAGTTAGGCACCATCTGTGAGAAAAACAGCACCATGACACAATTCAATCCACCAGAAATTTAGAAATGGCATGCTGTACTGCTTGGCATTCATGTCAGAACCTCCAATACAAACATTTCAGAGTGTTTGAGTGTCAATGCAGAGGATTCAGAAAGAGTTGGATGTGCCTAATGGTGACTGCAAAGGTGTGGCAGTTCGGAAAAAAAAAATCACCCTTATATATATATATATATATATATATATATATATGTGTGTGTGTGTGTGTGTGTGTGTGTGTAAAAATATATAGAAAATAGGAAAGAACTCGTTAGGTAAATAATCCAAAGTTCTTTAGTATTTTTGTTATTATTTTTTAAAAATAGTGCTCGATACAAAAGTAGAGCATGAACATAATTATTTATTTAAAAATATGATTCCAATTGTCTTTATATATATATAATTATTTGTTTAAAAATATGATTCCATCACTACATAAGAGTTCTCATGTTTCAAAACAAGAGCCGTAAACTTCAATATAATTATTTGAATGAAATTGAATTAAAGTACCAAGCTCTGTTCCATGTCCATGTTTTGGAATAAAAAAAAAAAAAAAGCTCTGTTCCATCTTCAAGCGAAATTTGTTTTGGAATCCCAAAAAAATTTCGCTTGAAGATAGAACAGAGCTTGGTACTTTAATTCAATTTAATTCATGGAATCATATTTTTAAATAAATAATTATATATATATATATATATATATATATATATATATATAAAAAGATAATTGGAAAATATTTCTTAGTTATTGCTGAGGCATTTCATCAATCTAACTTTATCAAGGCAAGTTTAAAAGTGAAACGTTTTGTAGTTAAATCAAATTCAAAATATTAAAAAGTTTAATATTTCACTTTTAAACTTGCCATGATAAAGTCAGATTGACAAAAAGCAATTGGAAATGACTAAGAAATAATTTCCAATTGCTTTTTGTTATCCAATTTGTCTTATCTTCAGAATTATTGTGACAAATTTAACTATATATATATATATATATATATATATATATGTGTGTGTGTGTGTGTGTATTCTTCCCCCAACTCCTACCCACTTGTTAAGACCCTCAACATCACATACACTGAAGCAATCCACCCTCATTTCCTTTATATTTCTTCAGTAAGGAATGTTACACCTCATATAGCTTCTTCCCTCCCCCCCACTAGAATTGTTGCTTTATGGAACAGAATCTCTCAGGCATGAGAGTATGCTTTCCTGACCACTACAATCTTAACCTTTTGAAGACTAGAGTTAGCCATTATCTATCCAACATATCTGCATAAACTGTTCCCCTTACTCTTACCACTCACACAACAACCTACTTCATCTAACCCTCTACATTGAGTGGCTCTTGTGCCTTGTATAGGGTGAACATTAGTAAAAACAAAGAAAAATGTTTAAGCTTGCTTAAAACAAATATGGCATTGTAGAGTTTTAACTCATTGGTGTCAGCTCATTAAAAAGGTGCTCAGTTGGTTTGGCTCTGTAATCAGACATTTTCCTACAGGTGATTTAACAAATAATAATGATTTTAGTGATACAAGTCTTACTAATTAACCCATAGTGGGGGAGAGACAATATGGATTCATACATTTCCCAAGAGTATTTGCAAGTAAGTAGATATAACAAGCCCAATTGGAATTGGAACTTGGTTCTCTGATTAACAATTCCGAGCCATTATCCATTGCACCACCCACACATCCAAGCTTACAGGACCTGGTATTCCCAAGCAGTCACCCATTTATGTATTGACCAGACTTGATGTTGTTTAAATTTGGCAATTGTGCAGGAACTGGTGTTTCAATGTGATATATACTAATTTTCACTCAATACAAGGCTCAAGAGACACTCAAGGAAGGGAATGAAAATGGTATGGCTGAATGAAGTGTATGATATAAATGAAAAAGAAGATGATAGGAAATGAAGATTATGTACAGCCTTTAACTTTTCAGTTTTATTGTTGTTTTTTTTTTCTTTCACTGTTAATAAACTTGATGACAATAAGATTACTGAAATGAAAGCATTAATTCTAGATGTTAAGACTTTGCATATCAGCTAAGAACAACACTATTTTTTACCTTGAGATAACTGATGATCAACAAATAAATCTCAAGAATACAAATCCAGAATTTGAACTGCAGACATCACTGACTTTAGCCTAGTGGACTTTCATGAAAAATGCCATTTTAAGGAAGAAAGTAGTTTCACTTACTGACAGAAGGGTCGTATTTGTAGACATAAACTGGTTGATTGTTGCCAGAACTGCTAAAAGCAATAATGTGGTCTCTGAGATGATAGTCAATGCCAGTGACTGGTTGTTGATAGCCAAGCTTGACATAGACTTCCAGTTTGTCACCTGAAATTGGGCAGAAAAAAACACATTCATCGTTATTTGGAATCAGGTTTAATTAGTTTAATTAATTATATGTTACTTAATGTTTTTGCTGATTTCAGCATAAAAATTTGTAAATGTAGTCAAGAAATATATATATATATATATATATATATATATTACACACACACATAGAGTGATTGAAAAAAAAGTAACTCACTATTTTATGTATGATGGACTCTTCTACCTAACTATAATTTTCACAAAACAGGAGAGTCCATCATACATAAAATAAAGAGTTATTTTTTCAATCACCCTATATATATATATATATATATATATATATATACACTACTCCTCTCCCATCGAATTCGACGTTGAGGGTCAAGCAGATCAGTTCCCAGGAAACCGACAGCCCGACACCAGCACATGAGATTTGATTATAATGGTGAAGGTTTCGTGCAGGACCATCCACATTTTTTGAAGGGCCGAATACAGAGACCTGGTGCACTAAGTGCCACAAGTTCCCCAAACGGCCCTCTGCAGGTTTTGAATTCAGAGTTGTCCTTCTCCTAGACCAGTTGCCATCCAAGGCTATAGAACCCAGTCTGTCCTGCTATTTTACCCAAAGCTGGAGGGAGAAGAAGAGGATTCACACCTTTCCCAAGGGTATTAGCACGTAAATGAATGTAATGGATTCAACTGGAATTCAAACTCGGCTCTTCGATTCTTCAATATGTGTGGTTAGAATGTTCACTTCCCAACCATGAGACCCAGGTTCAAATCTCATCATGGTCGATTAATCAGGAATGTGATTTCTTCATGTTATTGGCCTGGAGAGGCAATCCCAGTGTGCAGCACCTTTGGAAAATGCCTGAAAACTATACCACAGGTTCACCCAAGCCTTGTGAATGAAATCAGGTAGACAGAACTATTTGGCAGCTGATAATGGTCATGCTAGCATGTAGGCACAAGTCAACGTGACTGAGGATTTGAGCGTATGGCCATGTTCACACCAGATAATATAATCTCTCCCAGAAACTGTAACTAAGGTCCTCTCAGCATAGTTGCAATATAGATCACAGGTGTACTCTGTGGTTGTTGGACAAACACAACAGTGCCCGAGCAAGCACCTGCAACAGGGATTGCCTAGCCACCTAAATAGACATATTTGGATACAAGCGGCCAGCCACCGTCATATTTATCGTGAAAAATGTGGGAAAATGAATGAAAAAATATAGAAAATTTATAAGTGAACGGTTTCGATCTTAGAAAGAACATGAGGTTTTATTGATGGAGTCAGTCTCATGTATAAAATGGGAGAGAAATGACTTAGAAAATACAATCAAAAAAAGCAGGTTATAGTTTATATTAAAGTATTAAAGCTATAGAGCTGTACAACTTTTAAATTTAAATTTTGACGTCCAATGTAGAAAGATCTTTAACTTAGCCTATCTCATTTGGCATCTTGTTGGTTGGTTGGGTTTTATGGCATATCAACCACTGTGGGTCATTTAATGCCAAATTAAGGTATATATATATATATATATATATATATATATATATATATATATATAAATATACAGTACTATTAAATGCATAGCTGGCAACATTATTCTTTCCAAAAAACATATAGCTGGCAATAATTATTTTACCAAAAATGCATATCTGGCAACATTGTTTCAAAAACGTATAGCTGGCAATAATTATTTTTCCAAAAACATTATCTGAGGCCTTGTTGTTGGACGTAGTTTATCGTCATACCCAGGACATGGATGTAGTTTATCGTCATACCCAAGACGACTTATTGCTTTTGTTTTTATTGCTATTGCTTTTAATTATCCCTCAATAAATCAGCAGTAGTTTTGTCAGGAAAGGCGATACATTGTATAATCCAGGATATGAATATAATATAGTTTTTATTAAAAGAGAGAATAATTTATTAAGTATAAATATATTGAAAATGCATCAATTTCAGACTCTAGTATGGTAAAAAAGCTTTCCTCAACATTTTTAACAACTCTCTCATATTTGTGTGTGTGTGTGTGTGTGTGTGTGTGTGTGTGTGTGTGTGTGTGTAATACCAGAAAAAAAAAAAAAAAACTTCATAAACAGATTTAAACCAACACTAAATAGATCATAACCCCACACACAAAAGCACACAACATATAATGGCCAAATACAGTGGTCAAACCCCTCACATGCCTGCACACATGCTCACACACAGGTATCTCTGGAGCACGAATATGCATATTGGCAAAAACAATAGACTACTCACAGGTATGCGTGCAAACCCTATACAACATAGGAAGTGTGTGTATGTGTATGTATGGATGTATGTGTGTATATTAATTCTTTATAATAAGACAGTATGTATGTATAGAAAGAGAGTGCATGTATACATGCACATACTAATATATATATGCACATATTGGTAAAATCAAGACTGCTCACGGGCACACACACAAAACCTACACAACATTCTACGTGTGTGTGCATATATATGTATATGTGAACATATGTGTATACTAATTCCTTATAATAAGACAGTATATATGTATGTATGGAGAGGGAATATGCATATGCATGCTGACAAAAACACAAAAAAATGAAAAGAGATCAAAGAACATGCAGAGGTCATTAAAAGATAAGAATATAGATATCTTTTTCACCCTTTCTCAGACCAGTCTTAATTGTTTTATTACCCTTCATGCAGAACTTTTTCACTGCCAGTTCAAAGAAGACATTTGGGTCACTAACACACAAAAAAGAGAATGTCTAATATCGAGAATATTTAACATCGAAAAACATAAGAAAAATTAATTCCTTTTAATAATATGTGGAAATATCCACTCTTTGCCTGATAATGGTCGTGAGACCAGAAACAAGTGTAGGAAAATTATAGAAAATAAAGCAAAATATATATTTTTTTAAAAATCCACATTACAACCAAAAACGTTTGCAGTTTCTCTCTTTTTAATATACACACTTTTCTCTCATTGGAACTACTATAACCTCTTCCCCCTATATATATTAAACACCACTTCAGTTACTGATGAGGAAGCCATCACATCAATTGAGCAAAATCCAGAAATTCCGGAGTTGTCTTTTGAACCTACCTATCAAGAGGTAAGTGACTCCATTAAGCAAATCTCATCTAGAAAATCACCTTTTCAATTGCAGGCGAGACTGATTCTAAACAGAAACATTATACACCTTGTTGACATCTATCCTGAATTGCAGTATGGTTTTCAGCCAGGTTGTGGCACCTCTGGCATGATATTTTCTCTTCGTCAAGTTGCAGAGAAGGTTCACAAGAAAAACCAGGAGTTGTACATGGTGTTTGTGGACTTGACGAAGGCCTTTGACACTGTGAATTGAGAGGCATTTTGGCAAGTCTTTAGGAAACTCGGCATCCCTGAAAACATACTAAAGGTCATCATCTCCTTTCATGAAGAATGAAAGCTAATATTGTGTCTGATGGTATGATGTCAGAATCCTTTGCTGTCACAAACGTCACCAAGCAAGGGTGTGTCATGGCCCCTGTCCTTTTTGCCCTTTTCTTCTCAGTGATGCTGAAATATGCAATGGCAGACACAGGGAGCAGTGTCAATTGATGGTCTCTTCAATCATCAGCACTTCAAAGCCAAGACCCTCTTTCGTACACAAATTATTCGTGATTTGTTGTTTGCTGATGATGCTACTCTTGTTGCAACATCCTTTGAGGAGGCCCAACATCTAATAAATTGTTTCTCTGCTGCATGTAAAACCTTTGGTCTTACACTTAGCATAAAGAAAACTGAAGTTGTGCACCAACCTTGTCCTACTCCAAAGCAATTCGATGTTGAGAAACAAAAACCACCAGTCTACAAATTTCCAGAGAGAGCATTGAAAGTAAAAGACAAACCCCTGAACTATGTAACGTCTTTCACCTATCTTGGTAGCAAAGTCAATTACAGTGGAACTTTACATGATGAAATCATGCATCAGATTGCTAAGGCTACCAGTTCTTTTGGCAAACTTTGTCATCGCTTGTGGAATGAGCGGGGTATTTGACTGGATACGAAAATTCGGGTTTACAGAGCTGTTATCCTTGCCATCCTTTTATAGACTCCATACAGGTACCATATATGTCAGCTGGATGTTTTCCATAAAAGCTGTCTGTGTGCTATCTGTGGAGTTAACCTTCAAGATAGGACATCTAACGTAGAACTGTTTAACAGGTGTAATATTGGAGGAATTGAGACTTTTCTCATACAGTCTCAGTTACGGTGAACTGGTCATGTCTTGAGAATGCCTGATGACAGGATACCCAAAATCCTAATGTACAGCCAGTTAGATCAGGGCTACAGGAATGTAGGATGCCCATGGCTAAGATACAAAGACAAGCTGAAGAACATTTCCATGTCAGCTGTCAATATACCTCATAACACCCTCAAGCGCTAAGCCTTGGAGCGGGTAGAATGGAGATCAACGTGTTGTAGTGGGCTCAGCAGTTTTCATTTAGCTTGTCTGAATAGTCTTCAAGAAGTGAGAGCAAGATCTAAAAGGTCAGCCAATCCAACAGTGATCTCATCTCACAATCCTTACTCTTGCTCCATATGCAGCTTTCTTTGTAAATCACTAGCGGGTCTTAAGTGCCACTTATGATTATCGTACAAAATTTTATAACTGAATCAATTAAGTTGTCAAATCCTCATATGTCGAAAATGACGGGAGAGTCCATTATTATATATATATATATATATATATATATATATATGCATGTTTCATTAAAAACGACAGACAAGGTACTACGGTTAAGCTTTTTATTTAATTTTTCTTGTGTTCTGACAAGAGCTTTCTTTTCTGGACAAAAGGTGTGTAAGAACTGTCCAAATGTTTTATATTTCCGTGCACTTTTGGCTATACCTTTAGCCATTATCAAGGATGATTCGATTTTCAGCTTAATTGAGTGTGTACACAACCACATGCTTATCCAGATGTCTTACGTTACACCTATCTGATCACAGCTCCATCAGAACCCATTTAAATAAATACACAGATTTACCCGATTCAATTAGAAACATACTAGTAGAAAACACAAATATATTAACTTCATCCCCTGCAAAAAAAGACTAAAAATAATGGAAGCTTTAATAATAAAAAAGAAAAAGCCAACTCTTAACAATATTAACTACGAACAAAGCCACAATGTGCTAACCGTATTCGGAAATGAAAAACATCACTACCACACACTGATACATACACATAATGCACACACTCAATTAAGCTGAAAATCGAATCATCCTTAATAATGGCTAAAGGTATAGATGAAAGCGCTCGAAATATAAAACATTTGTACAGTTTTACACACCCTTTGTCCAGAAAAGAAAGCTCTTGTCAGAACACAAGAAAAATTAAATAAAAAGCTTAACCATAGTACCTTGTCTGTCGTTTTTAATGAAACATGCATAAAGGAAGGATTGCTGCCTAAATATACAACTATATATATATATATATATATATATATATTTATTTTATGCAAAACTAGGTAATCCGTATGGGTAGAACCAAGGAGGATGATATCCAGAGAGCTCAATGTAAATTCAGAGCAGATATGTTTGAATAAAAACAGACCACTTTAAGGTTCCATGTAATAAGTTATTTCACCACAACCCCTTTAACAGGGCTCTGGATCATCAGACTTCACTTCCAAAAGTTTTTTTTTTCAACCTTTGGAAGTAAAGTCTGATGATCCAGAGCCCTGTTAAAGGGGTTGTGGTGAAATAAATTATTACATGGAACCTTAAAGTGGTCTGTTTTTATTTAAACAAAATATATATATATATATATATATATATATAGATAGATAGATAGATAGATACCTCTGGCAGGGTTCAAATTTGCATCCTCCTCTGCAGGAGAAACCATCATCATGACCATTTGGCTACTGAGGGTTTCACATTCAAGTAAGTTTCAATTTGCCTTAAAGCACATTCACTTGTTCAGATTTTCTAAAAAGACACCTGTTCAGCTTTGTATCCCAAACATAAACAAAGCAATTTCTAAAGAATTAATGGATGTTGTTTTTTCAGCCAAGATATTTGTATTACTTCGAACGTTATCTTTAGTGAATATCCGTCTTTGAGTAGACATTATTTTTTATTTTAAACAATTTTATAAAAGTAATAACAGGTTACAAATGATTTTTGAAAGAGGGGAAATGCTGTTTACATAGTTACGTAGTATTTTTTTTTTTCAAGTAGTAAGCCAAGCAAAACAAACTAATGCTGAAATAATTCCACTCACCTGTGTCTGTATGCCAAACATAGGCTCTGTTGTCTTCACTACCAGCAAAAACTAAAGTCCCACATGGACTCAATGTGCTACGGATATGCTTGCTCCAATTCAAGGCGCCAATATATTCTTGCATTACCTGATTTCTGTAATCAGAATGCAAAATGCTTTCTGGTAAAACAAAAAGTGCTTGCTTCTGTAAATTTTTTTTTTTTTCAAGGATGCTCTTTTTTATAGATTGATAAATATCTTAGTCTCAAGATTAATTGTTTACATGAAACCTCATTGGACCAAATTGTGCTAAACAAGACATCTTAGACTGCTTTTGTCTTCGATAACAACAAATTCTAACATCTTTCTACTAAAAGAAAACACTATATAAGAATTAATAGGAGCAATATCAATAGAAAAGAACAGAGGAAAGTAGTAATTGTAATTTTGAAAGGCAAGACAGTCTGTGTAGTAAAAGAAAGTTAAAATCTTTGGATATATTACTTTTAAAATTATGAAAAAATAACTTATTTTTTAATTCTTAATTTTGTAATAAAATCTTAACTAAATGAAAGTAAATACTCATCAAAATTAATCATACTTTTATTTTAATCATTTCATCCCAAGCAGGGCAATAAAGCCACTAAGACACAATTAAGTGTAAGATACGAGAAGAAGAAAATTATTAAGGAGATGGAACAATAAAAGAACAGGAATTAAGATAGTCTCTTTAATTTATTCTCTATAATTTTCCCTTATTTATAATGAATGGGATACAGATGATTCATTGTGAAGTGTTATTATAGTGATTGATTTTAATCTATTTTTCTTTACTCACATACGAAGGTCAATCATACAAATGATGCTGTCACGATAATGCACAAGGAGCCGACGTCCACTACAATGCATTTTAAGGCAGTTGATTGGAATTCCCTATTGAGGGAAAAAAAACATTATCATCAACATGTTTGAAGTTTATAATTCAGTTTTTTTCTGCAATGAAGCATATGCTAGTACTACTTGCATGATGTTGCTACTTCAGCCATCAATTAATCGATACAATATCATAAGACATCAAAAGGACTTCAAAAACATTCTACTTAGAATGTCAATAAGTACACATATGTGTCACATAGGAATAATGACAAAAGAAGTAAATGATGATAGAGTGATGGGGACCTGTAAGGGAAGTTAAGCAATTGAAGAAATTAAAATGCACTTTGGGTGACAATTCACCAAACATATAAGGGAGAAGCCAACAGAAAATTACAAACAAGAAATGTTTAAGCATGGTCACCATCACCACCATTGTTATTAATTTGGGACTAGGTTCATTTATTTACTTATTTATTTATTTTTTTAATTAATTTTTACTGCAAATTTACTCAAGCATGGATTAGAGATAAGGGTAAGCTTCAAGTTGCACAAAGAGTTTATCGTTTTTACAAAACTGAACTGTCTACTTGCTCACATAAACTGACAGCCCAAGTAAGGTTAAAATACAAAAACAACTAAAAAAAAAAAAAAAATAAACATGAAAGTAAATGCTAGGCAAAAAATGAATAAAGCTTGACAATGCTTCATCTAATAAAAAAATGAAGATAAAAGTAAATACAGGCTGCGATAGGTAAATTGTTGCCATTTTTATATTTTTTATTTTACATATGCGTGCACATTGCTTGTTTTTGCTGACTGCACAGCATAGTAGGGTCAGTTGGGCACCATCAGTGAGAAAAAAAGCATCATGACACAATTCACCCTGCCAGAAATTTAGAAATGGCATGCTGTACTGCTTAGTATTCACACCGGATGGTTCACTTCAAACATTTCAAAGTGTTTGGGTGTTAATTAAGTGACAGTGTAGAAGATTCAGATAGAGTTGGATTATATATCCAGTCAACATCAAGGTATTTGAAGTGATCACTAGTGATGTCGATGTCATGCCTCCATTTATCTTCTCACAGGGTCTCACATGCAACATGAAGGCCTACATCAAGTCCCTTGAGCTGAGTCAAGAGGGTGGCTGCTAGAAGACCCTATGTCTGGCAACAGGACTTTGCACCATGCTACACAAGAGACCCTAGTCTTGGCAGTCAGGCAATTTCTGCAACCACATGAACCCCTTACATCTGGCCACCTAGCACCCCAGACTGCAACACTGTCCATTGTGGGATGCAACTGAGCAAGAGACCAACAAAACTCCTTGTAATACCAAAGATGAACTGAAGGCAAAGATTATGACAGCATTCAACAACAAGAAGATTGTCCAGAAAAGGTTGCAGGAGATTTCAAAGTCATCTGGAGGGCATGGTTGAAGCCAGTTGCTATTTTATTGAATAAATTTACTCTTTAGTATTTCAAGATATTTTTTTGTAATTTTGGTAAATTTATCTGTTAGAATGAGATGTCAGTGTTATTTCCATTTTTGCCTCATTTAGACGACAATTCATCCGCCGCACTCTGAACTAATCAAAAATGAATAATAATGGTTGACAATGCTTCATCTAATAAAAAATGAAGATGAAAGTAAATACTATTCAAAAATTAATAATAATGGCTGACATTGGTTCATCTAATAAAAATCTATTTTTCCACTTATACCTCTTTTCATATTTTATAAATAATTCTTACAAAATAATGAAATCAAATTTTTGTATTTTTGCATTTAAATTTTTCACAAACAGGAAGGTTATAAAATTGTACAGATACTTAACATAAAAATTGACAATAATATACACACACACACATATTATGAAATGGACAAAGTCAGACAATTATTTTAAGACATTTTTAGGTTTATACATTCTTTTTATAGATAAAATATTTAAGTAAATGCTCTGTTTATCATAAACAGCATTTTTATTTATTAATAAACAACATGAATGTCCGAGAAATTTTCAACAGGAAATTTTGCGACAGGATTCGAACCTGTATCCTATACGGAACTGTGATTTAGCTTGATATGCCTTTACCGATTTGGCCACAGAGGTGCGTTCAGTTCGCAAGGTCGAATTTACTGTATTTAAACTTCAATCTTCCATGAATCTCTCACATACATTCATATCTGCTCATAGCGTATCAAATGTAAACAAATGACATTACACGTTATGAAATGGACAAAGTCAGACAATTATTTTAAGACATTTTTATGTTTATACATTCTTTTTATAGGTACAAATATTTAAGTATATGCTCTGTTTATAATAAACAGTATTAAACAACATTTACTGCCCTGAATGTCCAAGAAATTTTCATAGAAAATATTCGTCCTCCGACAGGAATCAAACCTGTATCCTATATTGAACCGTCATTATATACTTACCTGGCGTTATGCTGGGGGTTTTGACAAATATTGGATCGTTTCTTGGCCTATGGCTGAGATTCGATCAAGGCTTCGACTAGCTTGGACTGGCTCCGGCCTGGACTTGCTAGGACAAATCATGACCAGCTTTGACTAAGCTCTGACCAGCTTGGACATGCTTTGACCAATTTTGACCAGTGGCCTTTGAGTGGAAACACTCGGTTTTCCCACGTTAATCGACCTTGTGTCACATCTTGACCTTGTGGGAGTCAAGTAAATACCTATATTGAACCGTCATATAGCCTGACGTGCCTTTAACCTGTCGGAGGACGAATATTTTCTATTTCAGGCCAGTAAATGTTGTTTAATACTGTGTATTATAAATAGAGCATTTACTTAAATATTTGTATCTATAAAAAGAATGTATAAACATAAAAATTTCTTAAAATAATTGTCGGACTTTGTCCATTTCATAATATGTGACATCATTTGTTTACATTTGGATATGCCATGAGCAGATATGAATGTACGTGAGAGAATCATGGAAGATTGTAGTTTAAAGACAGTAAACTTGACCTTGCTAACCGAACGCTCCTCTGTGACCCAATCAGTTAAAGGAGGACGAATATTTTCTATGAAAATTTCTTGGACATTCAGGCTGTTAAATGTTGCTTAAATATTTGTATCTATAAAAAGAACGTTAAACATAAAAATGTCTGAAAACATGCACATATCTTACTTTAAATGTTATTATAGTGGGCACTTCTTTTTTGAAATAGACACACCCTTTTCATTTATTTATTAAACAGTGTGTAATGTCTATCAGCCTGCACATTCAAGAAATCTAAGTAAAGAAAATATACCTGCTGGCAGAGATCGAACCTGCCTCACCCTTTGTAGGGGAAAACTGCCGTTTGATCTGGCATGCTTTATCGCTCAGCCACAGAGCATTTCACAGTAAGCAAGGCACTTTATTCCCTAAATTCCCCTCAATAAGATTATTTTTCTTGAGAGCTCCTATCTGCTCAGTTTGATAAATCAACGAAAACGGGGCATCTACTTCAAATAAGAAGGGTCCAATATAATAACCTTTCAAAGTAATAAAAATGTCAGAGTAAAAATAAATCCATTAATTCTTAAGAAATATATATATATATATATATATATATATCAAATGTTACCTTTTTTTCTGGGATGGAAATATCTTTATAGAACGTCCAGTCTCTTTTGAAGGCTGCAAAAGACATTTTTAAAGAATGGCATTTAGAATAAATCACTTATTTTTTATCATTTAATCCCAAGCAAGGCAATATAGCCACTAAGATGCAAGAGGTTACCGAATGTTAGAGAATATGAGGAAAACTATTATTAAGGAGAGAGGACAATAAAAGAATATGAATTGTTTCAAAATAACCTGCTCAATTCCTTCAACAAATTCAGTATTTAAAAGTAGCATAAATTTACCAATATATTTTAACGTTTCATTGCAGAAATTAATAATAGACTTCATAAATGGAAGAAAACTACGATCACACACACATTATAGCCAACCTTGTTCAGGCACTCTCGTCTCTTCCTTTTTATATTTGTTGTTGTTGTTAGCACAACAGGTCAGCTGATTCATTCTTCAGCTCTTGTCAGGAGTAATGTGTCACAAAAATAAAACCTCTTAACTCAGGGGACCCAAAAGACAGCAGATAGTTTTCATTAATGTATACATTGGACTTTAGTCTATTTACATGTCATCAAGTACACCAAGCATCCAGCTATTTTCAGATTACACAAAGTGTAATTTGGAATCCATGCTCACTCAATTCATGTGGCCAGTAAACTGAAATTGCTTTGGTGGATTTTATGACAGATCAACCCTTGTTAGGCTATTTTCATAGGTTGATGATTGATTTTGTTTAGTGACATATCAATCTATATGGGTTATTTAATACCAAAATCTATGTATATCTAACACAACTGTATGCCTTCAGTCTCCCCTGCCAGATGTAGTTTATCGTCATACCGAGGATTATAGGTAAACATTGATCCGGTTTATATTTGAGTCTATAGGCAAACATTGGTTAGGTTTATAGTTGACTCCACAAGTAAAAGCCTTATGGCCATATCATATTAAAATGCTGGTTGTTATACAATCACTGAAGTTAAGCAACATTGAGCCTGGTTCATACATAGATGGGTGACCACTTGGGAATAGCAGGTGCTGTAAGTTTGGATATATGGGAAATGTAATGGATAATGGCTCGATATTGGAAATTGGAAAGCTGAGTTCCAATTCCATTTGGATTCATTATATTCACTTATGTACAAATACCCTTCAGAAAGGCATGAATCCATCTTCCCCTACCAAAATATGAGTTAATTAGTAAGACTTGTATCAGTAAATCAATATTATCTAAAAAAATTGTTACAATCTAAAATATTTTCTGGCTTTAAATAACCTGCAAAAGATTGATAAGCCATAAAAAACAAATCAATCTACAAGTAAATATGGCTCAGGTTCATACTCAAGTCTACAAATAAACATGGCTCAGGTTCATAGGTAACCATTAATCCTGCTAATACTTGAGTCTATGGGAAAACATTGGTTAGATATATACTTGCATCTGAAAGTGTCCACCTACAAGGTGGCTTCTTTTAGTGTGTGTGGGGGGGGTCTATTTCTTCTCCTATGGAAGGAATGCAGTTGACATATTCTACACAATGCCAACAGGGCAATCTGTCAGCTGAGTGCATGAGCCAAACTAGAATGGGTTTCCATACTATGTGATTTTCTCAGCTTAGCAATATTGATGTTGGTTTAAGTGCATTGACAAGGAAGGATATTGTATTGAAGAATAAATATGTCATGGAAAGTAAACGCTTTTCATCATTACAATATGGACTTGGTGATGTCTTTGCATGGGTGTTGGCAGACCCAATTCAGGTGAAACCAATTTTTATTGGCTTCTTGGTCATTGTAATCAACAAGAGTCATGTATTCTCAATGGTAGTTTGTGAAAAGGAAGTAATCATATAATGCAAATTTTTTTTTTAACCATTTCACCCCAAGCAAGGAAGGAATGCCACTAAGACGCAAGGGGTTACTAAGTGAGAGAATATGAGAAAAAAACACTATTAAAGAGAAAGAACAATAAAAGAACAAGAATTAAAAAGACAGAAGATAATGATTTACATTGCAATTAAATTTTTGAAGATAAAGTTAACTGAGAAGGAATAATTCCTCAAGCAAGACGTGTGATAGAAGATACTGTTAGAATAGAACTTTCGGTTACATCTAACTATTTCAATGAGAAAATGATCAGACTCCTGTTTAAATTTATGAAGCCTAGATACCAAAGATAAAAGCTCATTGGAACAATTACTACGAAAATATTTATAGAAAAAGCTCAGAGAAGCTAGGTTACAAGTGGGAAAGTGACTAAAAGTCAAGATATCAAGTCAGGACCAATAATATTGCAGATTCTTCTTTGGATTTTATCAATAATCTTTAAATACCTAGTAAAACCACCAGATCAGATGTAACAGCAATATTCCATACATTGATGAATGGCCAACTTATAAATGTGTAAGGTAGATTCTATCAAGAAAAATTATTAATGGAAAGCAAAAAAAGTTACCTGGGAAGAAATAGTTCCACAAGTAAAAAGTACAGTAAAAGAAACTGCCTACAGAGAACTTATGGCTGTATCTAGACATTTCAACTGCAAAATGATGAGACTTTGGCACCAATCTGGTATTGTGCTTAAATTCATAAAGTCTAGGTACCAAGGAGGAAAGTTCCTCAGACCAATTACTGTGAAAGTAACAGTAGGAAAGTGACTGAAGCCAAGATGCCTGATCAGGACTGATAACATTGCATATTCTTTTTTGGATTTTATCAAGAATCTCTAAATATATAGCAGGAGCACCAGGCCATATATGGCAGCAATATTCAAAGAAAGGATGAATGGTAGACTTATAAATATATAAGATAGATTCTGGGGAGAAAAAGCTGTCTGGAACCACACAGTGAGCAAACCTTCCTAGCAACTGATTCAATATAATCTTTTATGTCAATGGAAAAAATTAGTCCGAGAAGGTGCAATGAGTCATTCTACTGGAGGTTAGCATCAGCCATGCTGATGGAAGGCAAAAAGGTTTGTCTTAGATGATTAATAGAGAGCAGTTTCATTTAAAATAATTCCTTGCCCCAGTTAACAACAGAATGTAGATAAGTTTTTAGATTAGCTACCAATTTGACTTTATTGAACTGCTCAGGCTTTTTATTGAGATAGGAATAAATGGTTGCGTCATCAAGGCCATCAGGAAGGTCATTGATGAAAATTAGGAACAATATAGGTACAAAGATAGAGCCTTGGTGGACACCTGCATTAAAGTAAAAAGACCTAGAAGAGTGGACATTTAACATGACTTTCATTTTGAGATTCAATAAGAGAGAGTGAATGAGTTCAAAAATTTGTCCAGAAACATCATAACCTTTCAACTCATGAAGAGCAATATGCTAAACCCTGTAAAATGCCTTTGAGATATTCAAAGCAACAGTTTGTAAAGCAACAATTATAACTTCTTTCAAAAGGTATCAGCAAATAAAAACAGAAAGAAATTCAGTGGGATTTAAATTTTCTTTGAAATGTCTAAAATCATTTTCTAAAAGAAACTTAATATTGATATCATTAAATATTATTTACAAATGCTTTTGTCTATATTTCTGAGATGAGGTATTGTAATTATTTATACTATTTACATTGTTCAGACAGTTGCCCTCATCTTTAATGTCATATTCAAGTCGTTTCGACCGTTGTACACTTCAGCCTTCTTGAAGTGATATATGTTGGAATTTTGAACCGAACCATTTATTTCATTCACTGGAATAGATTGATCTAGTTCCACATGCCATGCCTTTTCTGGATATCTCAGTTTCGGTTAATTCTCTTTAGTAACTCAACAGTTTTTATTCCCTCTCCTGTGGCCACAACTTTTGGGGTCAAGTCATTGGATTACTTCAAATAATGCTTTTATCCAGTGGGTCATGAAAAAAATGATGATGACAACAGTTTGAACAATGTAGATAGTGTAAAGAATTACAAACAATTTTGCAGAAAAAAAATGCATCAATTTTTGTCTGTTTCCAGATGGCCTTGTGTTTTTCTGGTGTTAACTTCCAAAGTTGGGATTACAGCAGATGTAAAGGTGGCTTCTGGTTGAAAGCACAGCCTAACTTATACATTTTTCAAATATAACCATTGCTTCGGGGTTTAAAATTAAGTTTTGGTGCTTTTGAATTCAACATGGCCTATATCATTACAATCTTCCTTCCCCCTTCAACATTTTCTGTTGTGGCTACAAGTCCAACAATACCCTGATCACTTAGGCATTCATATCCAGGACAGTCTGGACTGAACCAGTCGCTTATTTTGGTTTCATTTACATTAACACTGATAATTGTTCGAAATGTATGGTTTTCGAAGTTTTCAAAATATTTGTCTGAGATGAAGTATTAAAATAGATATAGTTTGGATAATTGAAAATGTTTGGGTGATTTAAATTTTTCTTTTCATCTGATGTCCGCCTTCTGTCGGGAAAGTTGAAAATTGATATCAGCTCAAGCCCCAGAGGGCCCTGTTCCCAGGAAGTATTTTTCCTTTGTACTCATCACCTGGTGCATCCCTAAAAGGGGAAGTGCCAAAGGAAGCTTGAGCAATTTTTCCATGGTATTGCCAATAAACCCACTTTAAACAACCTTGCACTTTTCGCTTGTAGACCTCTCTTCTGGTTCCAGGCATTCCAGCCATCTTCCATCTTCAAAAATTTAAATGCAATGTCAGTCATTATCTAGTGACCTTTTGATTACTCTTCTACTGTTCTCGCTCTTTAATAATGTCTCTTTTTTTTTTCTTATTCTTTTCACACCCCTTGTGTCTTAGTGGCTCTACTGCCTTGCATGGGGTGAAATGATTCAAAAACAAAAAAAAAACCCTTGCATCACATTCAACAGTGATGTGTGTGCATTGAAAAACACCTTCATTTGATGCTTGAATAATTGAAGTTCAGAAAACAAGGTATAGATTATCAAGGAAGTACTGTAACATCCAAGAGAGCAGCTAATTTCAGGTGCAAAGTTTCCATTTCATAAGCGCCTGGTGGTAAATAATGGCATCAAAAACTACATCAAAAGGAATAATAACAGCACTGGGAGGATAACCCGCACAATAAACTCTTCAA